CTCCCTCATTCCGTCTTCGTTGGGCGCACGGAGCTTCACTCCCCGTGTCCATGCTGCGTACCGAACCGTGCACACACGGGTTTTCTCTGTTTCGCCGAGATTCATGAGCCTCGACGGACGTGCCGATTTAGAGGATCGTTCGTTCGTACGTTTGTGCGTCCTTTGTCTCGTGCGCCGCGGTTTCTGACCGCCTTTTGCTCGAGTTTTGCGCCGGGACAAATATCGGGCGGCCAAGATATTCGTGATTCGTTCGAGTGGCGCGTTTGAAAGAAAAGTCGGTTGGGTCTGGGTTGCGTCGAAAAAACGGTCGTTACATTTACCGTAAAGGATAGAAACGGTTTATGCGCATGCGTTTTTTAAACGGTTCGTGTGACCTCGACACTATGGAAAGGAAAGTTTTTTGTTGTGTGAATATTGGAAATAATTGAATTGGAAGATTATGGTAGATTGTGGAAATAAATTTGACATTGTGGAAAGGAAAATATAATATTATTATAGAAATATTGACTGGATAAAAGTTGAGTAGAATTTAATAGGCTAAAAAAGTTTGTGATTGGAGTGTTTAGGTTAGAATTTAGATTTGGAATTGAGATTGCTCGAATATTAGTCGAAAAAAAGTTAGATTAAATAGATTGAAGGATTGATTCAAGTTTAGGTCTTTATCTAATCGATCTCTCCTTTCACAACAAATGAAACCAACTATCTAAAATCCAACTATACTAACAATAATATACTAATAATAATATACAATTTTCAGGAATAGATTTTCTCAGATATCCGCACAAGTTCAATCCTTGATTTCAATTTATACAATACAATACTCAATTATCGAATATATTCAATTCTTAATTCCAATTTATATCTCATTTCAACACCTGTTTTATCTCATGAACTCTAACAATGTAACGATCTCGACATTCAAAGAATTCAAAGAAACATTCAACAACGATTATGACCGAGCATTTAAGCTGACAGGAGGAATCACTAAGATGTTTAATCGCGAAACTTCATTCAGACCGAGATCTTGAGTTAAACCGAAGCGAAAGCGCAGTCATTTTGCAATTTAAAAGAACGAAAGTCGTCTGCATATCATAATCATCATTAAAATGTGCGATTCACGTATTTTACACGGAGGCCATCGACGACACCGACAGGATTAATATTTCCGATACGGCCAAGGCTCATTGCATTTCCAGTTGGAAACTGCTTCCTCTACTCTTGGTACAATCACCCTATATGAATCATTAAAGAAACAATGCTGAAGGCAGTGGCGTATCTATCATATGCGTGGGTGGTGCAGCTGCACCAACGCGGCTTGAACCTGAGGAATCTTGACCATGAGTTTTTGTAGTTTTTCGTTGCAGATGTACGTTCTGAAATTTAAGCTTCTTTCTTATGTACGAACATTTTTAATTATGACGATACTTTATTATTGCGAAGTATCGATATTATTTTGCAATCAAATTATAATTTTTTAATTTTTTATAATTAATTCTTTTATATCTTGATGACAATTTCAATTCTAAAATTATTATTACAATGTTATAATATTAGTCTTTTGCTATTAGATTATTCTAGAGAAAATAAAAGCCTTTTTCAGTTTTTTTTTTTTTAAGTGTATTTCTTTATGAATTAAAAAATAAAAAATAAAAAAATTTTCCAATTTCTAAATTCACTATTTTACACAATATACTACAAAAATCAAAAATTAAAATTATCAACGCATTTTATAAAATCCAATTATATAAAAAAAAGTTAGGTTAGTATTTCCGTCAAGGACGTATCGAACTATCAAATCGCTAAATGGATCTATAACACTATTTATTTAAAATTAACTGATAAAATTAAAAGAAGTTTTAACTTGAAAATCGATAGAATAAGTATAAAGGATGAAAAATAAAATCTCGGTCATTGACTTGCCATCCCACGCCAAAATGATTCTTTCCTCCGAGCCATCGATTGCAGTTCTCGACTTAGCACGTTATTAAAACGACACCTCGTATCGATCTCGCTTATCGATGCCATACTTCAGACGGTACGGAGGAACGGTAGCAGTAGTGTGGCGCGCGTTTTAACTGCGCAAGCGTGTCCGCCACGACTGAGAAGGACTACTAGCAAAAACCTTTGCTACTATCCGGCGAACTTTATTGAATGAAAATGCCGCTACGTTTTTGTCCCCGTCCCAGCATCTCTCCCGGACCGAATGAAACAATGGCCATTATGTGAAACATTCGCGTGTCCGTATAACATACATATATGCATGCCTCCACGTGTGTATTACGTCTTTTTCTAAATTTGTACACGGATGCCGACACATTTAAACGTAGAAACATATACGTGTATATAAATTATAGATACTTACATATACACATCTTTTGCGTATATAGATATAAATACGAGTATAAACATTTTGAGATATACGTATGTGTAGAATCTGCATATAGTCGTTATAAATACATATATATATATATATATGTTTATGAATGAATGGATGTGTATAAATATGTATTTGAATATGTGTGTAAATGTATACTCAAATGTACACGTATCTACTAGACGTATTCGAAATACGTGTATATGTGTATAAATGAATGAATGAACCTGTGTAAATGTGCTTGTAAGCGTGTCCTAAGTACATATACTATATATATGTAGCATATACATATTCTCCATACCTACATTTTTCATTTATAAATGAATAAATTTATATGTATAAATATATACTTATATAAGTATATACAACGTATAAAATCTAAATATATTCCACATACGATACGTACATTTTTTATGTACAAATGTAAAAAACTTATTATAAATATGCATATAAATATGCATTTATATACAATGGGCAACATATACGTTCTATTCGCATAAAACATATATATATATATATATATATTATATATATTCGTCTTTGTGCATAAATGAAAAAGCGTATACAAATGTGCATTTATATATATATATATATATTATATATATTCGTCTTTGTGCATAAATGAAAAAGCGTATACAAATGTGCATTTATATATATATATATATATATATATATATATATATACACACATATATGTGTACAAGTAAAACAAACATATTCATTACACGTGTGCATACATGCCATTCATGCACAAATGAGAATCTATATAAACGTGTATTTATATACGTTATTATATATATATATATAAATGTAGGTATGCGGAGGACAGCTGTTGGTTACTATTATACCCGGCACGGTCGCATTATGCCTTAAGGACAATCGTGGGAATTCCATTAAGTGGCCTTGAATGGTTCATTCATGTCGATCAACTCTTTTCCTAACGGGGTTGACAGATCAATCGGCTCCGGGCAGAGAGGCACGAGCACCGACCCACCGGGGATTTCTCTCCCCGCTGCGCCACGGCACAGAGTTCCTCTTCGATCGTGGACGGGCACAAAGACGAAACAGAGATGCCAAAGTCAATTACCTCGCGTATATACGAATGCCGCCGCGTGTACGAATCGATCTCTTGTTTTCTTCAGCCGGACCGCTCTCGTTTGTCCCGGTATCGAACGTATCGAGAATGGTATTCCGTCCGCGTCGTCACGGAATTCGTATCCAAAGGCGAGACGTGCGCGTCGAGCAATCGAAATAATTGACTTTTGCTCTTAATCGGAATATTCGTTGCAAAAAGTTGAGATGGTTAATTTAGTTAATTACCGGAAAATGTAACGTTACTCGTGTGGCCATGTCGTCAGATGTGAAAAGTGAGGTTAGAATCTTGTCGTTTCGAAAAATTTTTTCGCGAAATATATATCGGAAGAAATAAAGTGAAAAAAACATGCAAATACATTTTGAGAATAAATCTCTCGAGAATTCTTTTATATTTTTCGCAGACAAAAACATTACTTTGAGGTTATCCGAGAGTAAATATATTTATACACTTATATTATGTACAATATGAGAATTAATATTTTTGAGAATTGTTTTCGATAATTATTTTTCACTATATTGAAAATAATTTTTGATAATTTTAAACTCTCAAATGTATTCACATTCTAATCTTAAAACTTCTGACACGTGTAAACCTGCCTTGAGTTAAAATTTTCGATCTAGCAATCGATTGGTTGTTTTCGGTTACTTTCGACTAACTAGCCAATATTAGTCCAGATAGATTTTTGTTCTTTTTTAACCACGAATGAAACGCGATATGTTTAATCGAATTTAGTTATTGTGGCAAGAGTGTTTAAAGATAGAGATCGAAAAAGGTAATGGTATGATAAAGGTACAGTTTTTAATGAGGAGAGATACCCGTGGAAAAGATCGGTCTCATTGTTTCCCGATAAAGAAAGCCGAACGAATATTCCGATTCCTTTTTTGATGCCGATTCTAGATGGACTCGCGTTTTCTGAAATGAAGTTTTAATTACGTGATTTTCTTTGTATTTGTACTCGTTTCTTCTTAGGTCAACAATTAGTTATAATTAATAATGACATGAGAAACATGACTAAATCATCGAGATTAGTAAATAAATCGAATTCAGGATTTATTATCGTAAATACTGCAATCTTTCTATATTTCTATTGTAAATTTATTTCTTTAATTTACTCATATATATTTCAAATAAGCAATTATCGATATTATACGACACAGTTATTTTCAACGTTTATTGCATTTCAATTAAACGAAAAATAAATATTATTTTATTTACATCGAGTTCATGAACATAAATAATAAATAATATTTGTCCACGATTTAGACATTAAATCGACTTAATATTTTCAATATCTTATTTAAGGAAACGCTCAATTTCAATTTTCTAATTATTGTATCAACTTGTTTCAAATTTTTTCCGATTCTGGTTATTTTAAGGTTAATTTCATTTCGAATCGAACATGCGCATGCGTATTAACTGGCACTGTTTGCGCACCACACAAGCACATATTATTTTATATCGTTGATCAAACTCTATTCGCGCCGTTGTAAATTCACGGATGATTAATAAATTTCGTATTTGAATTTTCAGGATGCTGGATAATTATGACAGGGGTGAGGTGACACCACCGCCAGTGAGCAGTTATGGCGGTTCCCCTGGACTCTTGGCACTTCATTCCTCGCTTTATGCGACACCTACGTCGAGGGCCTACGATATCGAGTCGAACATCGATGGCAACGACAGTTCCATGCCCATCGATACCCAAATCATCTCGGTACGTTCACGCAATACGCTCGATCCAGGTTATAACACCTTTGAACATAGACTCTAGGATATTTTTCATTCGAGGAACGCTGTTTCACCTCGAACGTGCACACACCTACGTTCTCCACTGTTTTACAGCGTTCCTTCGATTAAGCCGGATCCACACTGGAATTGTTAACATTAGAACAGAATAAATAGGATATTGTGATTATTTCCATTTTTTATGTTTTTATAATGAATCCAAATTATCATTAAAGTATCATAAATTATGACAAGGATTAGATTGATAATAAAGAAAATTTGAAGTTTATTGAATGAAGCTCGATTGAAACGTAACACAAATTTATTAAAAGTTCTAATATTAATTTATTTAACATTTGTTGATTAACTTAACTTAAATGAATCTTAACAGGTTAAATTAATCATTATCTTGTAGAGAAACAATAAATAAAAAAAAAATCAAAGTAATTGAATTTGTGTGGAAAATGGGACATTTTTACATTGATTCCAAAGATGTATCCTCATTTCGAGATATAGTTTAATAAAATAAATAAAAAATCAAAGTAATTGAATTTGTGTGGAAAATGGGATTTTTACATCGATTGCAAAGATGTATCCTGATTTCCTGTGGTATATTTTAAACGATTGTAATGATCATAAATGGATGTAAAGAAATTTGGAATTCACGTGCGGATCTATTTTTGACCTGGAATACCGAGATTCTATAATCCCACGAGAATTCAATATTTATCATCGTATTCATTCACTTATCGGCCATCATTATCGCGCGATAAATAGTTTTCACATTTCTTTCGAGATTGGTGCACGCGCATTATTCATTTTCATTATATTACAATGCTGATTCTAACGAGAGCCCAGCAGAACCTCAGAACACCAGCTTTTACCCAGCAACAATACTGGGTATACATGTTTCCGTGCGGCGTTCATTAGCCGCACTGATCATATCTATCAGTAATTACGTATTAATGGAATCGGAAAATATCGACTTTCACCCGTTTTCGTTAATAAGCGAGTAATTATCGGCAAGATGTCGATCGAATCGGATCATTTTCGTTGATTTGTCGTGCAACATTAAATTAAATTGTCGATAAAGAAATTAATGGATTAAAGGAAATTTTAGTAAAAAAGAAATTCGAATTTGAAATTTTTATTCATTAGATTAGATGAAAATTCATGAAATTGGGAAAGGAGGCTTGGAAAACGGAGAATGGTTCGAGAATCGATGATTGAGAATCGTATCAGGAATATCAATTGATTAAATACTGATAATTCAAAGATCTTATATTCAGTGATCGAGATACCATCGAAAGAATAAATAAGCGAAATAAGGGATCGAGAATCGAGAATGGAAAATCGATCAACAATCAAGAAAATTGAAAATTGAAAGATTTATTGAGAATCAAGGATTTATCGAAAATCGAAGAGAAATCGACAATTTGGAATAGAAAATCGAAAGATTTAAAATTCCAAATATCAATCATTTCGATCTTCACCGATTGAAATTTATAAAATTTAATTCAATCATTATTAATTCATCAGTGTTTATGATTACCTATTACTCGACAAAAATTTCAAATCGTTAATAATTTTTTCTCAAAATCCAAAGAGAATCAAAGATCGAAAATCGGTAATTTATTCGACACGGGAGTGGAAAAATCGAAAGATTTAGAGTTGGAAAGAGTTGAAAATTACAAATCTGTCTTTCCAGATACCGGGAATGTTGAGCGGACCAGCGCAGCAACGATTGGAGGACATGTCTTGGCTCGCTTCCGGTCCGTCGTTGGAGTATCAACAAGGAATCTCGCCGATTCCCGCAGGAGTGAAGATGTGCCATCCAGGCAGCACGGCCCAGAGGAGCCTGAAGGAGCAGCGGATACGTCGCCCGATGAACGCGTTCATGGTCTGGGCAAAGGTCGAGCGCAAAAAATTGGCCGACGAGAATCCTGATCTCCACAACGCCGATCTCAGTAAGATGCTCGGTAAGTTCGTGACATCTAAAATTTTAATTCTCTATCCTTCGTTAATTTTCCTTGATTAGAATTGATCTCTTCAATCTCACGATCGTTGCAAATTTTTTTCGAGTTTTTTTAATTCAAGATTCGCTTCCGATTTATTCGTGTTGTCGTTGTTATTGTACGATAGAAAATTTTTCGATCGAATAGTTGAAGGAAGTATAGGTTATCGTATTATTGGTAATTAATCTACTACTTGGTTTTTTGAAATTTATATGATTTTTATTTTTGAGTAAATAAACATTGAATTACTGGTGGATCACTTTTTCGAGTGAGAAAAGTAGTATATTTAAAAAATTAAGTATACGTAATGATTTGTCTTAAAATATTTCTGAGACGTGTACAGAAACGATTTAGAAAGGTCTTGCCACGTTCGATCGTTCCAATCGTTGCTGCATACCATAATGTCGAAACGTAATTAATTATTTTCGAGATAAGGGATCGCGGAAAAGTAGGAATTACAACGTCATAAATTAACATAATATATGCTTATAAACAAATAAATAAACATACAGAACTAAACGACGATATTTTCACAGTTGTAAACAGTTAGATAGGTTGTAAAATCTTTTTCACTTGAAAAGAGGTCGCGAGACAACTCTGGGAATAAGAAAGTCGGAAAACTCTCTTCATGCTGGTGTTGTTATTAATTTAATTACTCATCACGTGATCAACACGTGAATGGAGATACGAACGCAACAAAGAGAACGCGAAATTTTTCTTAGTCATGAAATTTCCGCTTACTCTGTTATACATATTGAATCTTCCATATATATTTATTCATTTCGACCTTCATCGATTGAAATTTATAAAATTTAATTTAATCATTATTAATTTATAGTGTTTATGATTATGTATTACTCGATAAATATTTGAAATCATTAATAATTTTTTTGTTAAAATCCAAAAATTTTAAAAAACCTATTAAGAAAGTAGAAAAATTTTTCATATAAAATAAGTAAGTAGAAAATTCGATATAATTAGAATTCGAGTTTGTTATTTAAAATAATTGATATTAAAAATAATCTCTTTTTTTTTTTTGCATATTTTGTAATTCTTGTAACGTGTAATAAGTACATATATATTAATATTGAAGGATATAATAAGAAAGGGATTGTACTTGGAAAAAGATGGACTTTACGTCTTTGTTTTCATTCAAGTGGTCGGGTTTAATTAGACTTACTCGTGGAACATGAGTTCAAAGCCGAATCCTTCGGGTCGACTATTTCCTTCGGCCGTAAGCACGTAGTTTTATGCCCATCGGAGAAAATTACAAAGATATCGAGTAGCGCAATTTAATACGTCGTAAATTCACCGTTGCGACTCGACGTGTGCTTGCTTCCTTACGTAGGTGCCAACGTAGTGCATTAATATTAAAAGGCATATGCGCGATTGGAAGTCAAGAGGTTGTATGTACCTTCCATCGTCGTCGCTATTTTTCGATTAAAGCTTCACCAAAGAAAACAAATGCTTTCGCGAACAACTCGTTTAAAACTTGGATTTTAAACGTGGAATGAATAATTTACCTTTGCTATTCGAGAGTCTATAAAGGGTTATATTTAAGTGTTTTTGCGATATTTGTTGTAAAATGTGATTTATGTTTATTACTTGCAACGTATAGTTCGATTTGATAAATATTCTAAAAAAAAATATATATTTTTAAATTATAAATCATATAACATAAAATATCAATCATCGATCAGATTCCAAAACTTTAAATTGTTCTAACTCATTCTTGATAGAATGAGTTAAGACGTCCAATAATACAGATTTATAGATTCATAGAAGTAATATGATATTTCTATTTTAAAAATGTGCACATCATAGATAATACATAAGGATCAAAGTCCAAATCGAATTTTTATCTCGATCATAACGCTTTAAATCCTTTGGTACACTGAATGCGCCAAAACGTGGCGCGCCTAAAAGAGGGCCGGCGCTGAGAGGGCTTGTCCCGGTACCCAGCAATCTGTCAGCGTCTGCAGCCACGCGTTATATCGTGGATAGGTACACGCTTGAATTATCGGCAATTGGCATCCGCAACGTTACAGGCATTCGAACGAGCATCGTGCAGAAAATTGTAAACTCCGGCTCGTGTGTAAGCCACCTACCCGCGCCCATTTTAGCACGGCTATTCGCGCGTGTCTTCGTACGCGGCACACGCGTCTCCCCTCGTTTCATTCCCCGCTACCATCAGTTCCAATCCACTTTTTTCTCTTTCTTCCCATCTTTTTTCCTATATCTTCTTTACTTATCCTCCTTTCCTCTTACCTCTTTTCTATCGAATGTTTTTTCCACTATTTTTTTTGTAGAGACACCGTAAATCAACTCTTCGGAGGACTGTGGCGCGCGCCAATCTATCGTGTATACGCATGCGCGACGCGCGTGCGCACCGGCGTATACTTACCATAGAGTCAAGGAAAACCCTGTAGTGGCGAGTCAGCCGATCGATCGATCGAACATTAGGCGCGCGATGTTATTGGCATGACGCGGCTTCGATTACTATGCGCGTCGAGTGTTTGCCGCCCCCACTTTTCCTCGTCTTTTTTTCCAGACATCCTACATATTCATGCGCGCGTGCTGTGTGTCGATCCGTCTGTCTGTCTGTCCATCCGTTAGTCCATCCGTACCCCAGCACGGGGCCGTAGTTTGCGCGAGCGAGCCTGTTTTATGTCCGAGTTATGCACGTGGACGCGCGTCCTCCTCCTCTTCCTCCCTCTCTTTCTTCTCCTTCTTCGCTTCTTCTTCCTCTTCTTCTTGTTACTGCTTCTTCTGGCCCAGGTGTGTGCGTATTCCTTGAGGATACACGAGCGCACGCGTCCCGATGGTGCACACCGGCTCACCTACCGCGGCCCTGTGCCGTGTTTTCTTCTGTAGTTGGCGAGAGGCAGTCGATAGAGGGACGCGTTTGTAGACTCGAGTAAGTACATACACGCCTATGGTGGGCCTGTGTGGGCCTTATATCCGGTGGAACGCGTGCCCGCGCATCTTTATTAATCATTCCCTAACCGTTAACCCCTCTTTGCCGCTCGTATGTCAACAGTCGAATTGCCTCGTTTCGAGATCTTCTATTGGAATTTCAAGAAGTCGCTAACATTTCGTTGAAGAGGAATATCCAGAAAATTGTCGAACGCAATCGCGGAAGTATCCTACTCGGAATGAAATTTCTGATATTGAAAAAGATATGTCTTTTCGGTTTTTTTTCATTATATATAGGATATTTCATACGGAATGAACGGAATTATAATATTTTGTTATATTTATACAATGTTTCTATTGTGATATATCGATTAGAATTGTATTCCCATAATGTCACTGGGTCACAGATAAATGTAATATTTGCATTTATTTTTGAATTAAATCTATTTTTAGAAAATTTTAATGAAATTTTCGAATAAGAATTATTCAAACGATGAATTGTAAAGCATACTTTATAAAATAGAATGTTATAAAATAGAAAAATGTAAATTTCGATAAAAATAGCATAATTCACATAATTGTCTGCGGACAAGAGAGAAAGAAAGAGAAAAAAAAGGAAAAAGAGCCCATCATTTTACACGTATTCCACGGTATACGGTCGAATACCTTGTACCTGAGTCAACGAAGATCTACTTTCATCGCGGCTTGCGAAATTGTTCGGCTACGTAGGAGTTTCGCGGGAGGAAGCGTGTTCGATTATAGTACGTAACCTCCACTCCCATCGATGCTTTTTACTCCTCCATCAATCTCGACCGTCCCGATTATGATGGAATAAATACGGCGACCTAATCGACCGCTGCCCGCTCGTCCATCATCATCATTATCATTATCATCATCATCCACACCACCAATCTCGATCGTCGATTATTAAAATAATTATTAAAAATCATTTATAATCCTAGAAGAAAATTTTGAGCAAAACAAAATTTAAATAAAAATTATTCAATAATTAAATAAAAAATAATTAGATAAGAAATTATTAAAAATAAAAAACGCTCGATAGACTCGCGCTTTAATTCTTCGAGAACATTAAAAACATCCTCGAGAAAGAAACCAAGCAAAAAAAAAAAAAGAAATATCCCCTCCGTTTCACGAGGATGCAGGTAGAGTCGTTCCGATAGATCCCGCGGGAGATATCGATAAACTCCATAATTCAGGAATCGGTGTACACTGGCTATAAATTTCGCCTGATGCAATGGGCGTTAATCTTCGTTAATTCTCTCGTTAATCAGTCACGGATATATACTGGGAGCTTAGTTCAACTACAAAAGAAGACACGAGGAGCCACGATTTAAGAGATCTAAAAGAAGAAGATCGAGGGGTTGAGAATAGAAGAAGCGTATAAACCGCGTGGACCCTATTGGAACAGCGGCACACGTTACCCACGAAGAACGCGAGGAAGGAGAACCACGGTATATCGTAGACGGCGTCGTTTATACGGGCCGCGCGACGCCACTGTCGCAAGACCACCTACGACAAATGTGGCAGCCTGCAAATAATACCGGGCGTGTTGTACCACCAACGACAGGAGAGATAGAGGCCTCTAACTGCCAGCACGGTATCGTGGTTTAGTGCCTCTGATTACCTGAGCCCCCTCCCCCTCAACTACCCCCCTTACATTCAACTCCTCCCCCGCGATGTGCCCAGTCCAAGTGGCCATGCGCTACGGTTAACACAGAAAGACGTCTTCTCTTCTTTCTTCTCGTTCAAATTCCCCCTCTTTCTTTCTCTTTCTCTGTTTTACTCGTATCTTCCGTTTCGTTCTCTTTTGCTGGTTACATGTACAAAAGTAAGAAAGAGAGAGAGAAAGAGAGAGAGAGAGAGAGAGAGAGAGAGAACAGTCTGCCGAACGCGTGAGATTCGCGGTCTGGATAGGCTCTAAACGACGGATCAGGACGTACAGTATCTCACAATAATGGCGCACGGTGGAAGGCCCCCGATAAGGTCGGCCTCGTTGCTAGATTTAAGGGACGGTGCGAGCGGCCCGTAGCGAACGCTCCGAACGGCGATTGAGAATTATTGGTCCGTGTATGGACTACACGCGTGTATACATATACCTAAGTTCCCATACGTAGATATACGTATGTATAGTATGCATACATATATATATATATATATATATATATATATATATATATATATGTCGCGATATGTGTACATTGCGTTTACTGTGTGTACTGCTGTGCGTCTGTATACGTGTATTTATAGATACGTATTTGTATGTATATATGATGTTGTGTAGTTGCATAGTATTGGTCGTGGTGGCGCTGCCTTTCGAGAGCGTCATTATTGTGCGATGCTGTAAGTACGTTCACCGGGCCGATTCGTTCTGTGAATCACGGCATCGTTTGCCGTTTCAACGACGAAAAATCGGCGGACAAAAGGCGTTTTCTGTCCGGAGCCGACTCGTTACACCCAAAGCAAACGATCGGTTTTTGATAAACGAGCTTGGTGGGCGTGCGATGTTTCCTTAATCGTCGAAAATGAGGTTGTCTGATTGTTATTAGATTATTTATTCGGTTTGTTCAGTTGATGGACGGATAGTTGATTGACATGACGGTCTGAAATTGTTAGTGAATGCCAGAAATCGGGTTAAATGATAAGTTGCTTTCACGTGATTGGCTATTTTTACATCTATAGATTCATAATCTTCGTAGGAATGGAATTGAATTTATTGGTTAAGTGATTGACCGAGGCGTGCGCTTGAGACGAGAATAAAAGGTTGTACTAATTACCGGTAGATGACACTAGGCTTATCTTAATGCGGCGTAACCAATCGCGATTAAAAACCAGTGGCACGAAAAATTTCTATTGTGATAGATCTCCAAAGTGAAGCAAATCAAGATGAAATAAAAAAGATAAGAGATTCTAAAGAATTAAAAAATTGTTACGAAAAATTTCATAGATTTTGAAAAGGTATAGAATTTCATATATAATTATATTATGTTTTCTTATATTGGAACATTATATCATGAAATATCCAATGCATTTGATATCCAAAAATATCCATAAGAAAGTAAACTGTAATTGTTTCATAGAGTGCTAGAGGCAAGATTCGATCATATTCAATCGGTTGAATTTTTCCAATGGAATAAAAAAAAACTAAAATATTGCGAAATATCCCGCAAGCAATTCCTCTACGATGGATCGATAACAATCTCACAGGTAATAATTATCAAGAATCGCCAGCGCATCAATGACCTTTATATTGGCGAAGGGCTTGCGAAATAGACTGTAACGAAAAGTTTGCTCGCTGCCGATTGAAATTAATGTATATACGCATGCGCTCTGGCGATGCGTATGAATCGTTTGAACTCTAAGGGAAAGGCTTACTTTTCATCTGTTATTATATTTATCATCGATAGATATGCATATATACTCACATATATAAAAGGTGTTCCGTAATATAATATAATTCATAAATTCATTTTAAAAATTGATTATATATACTTATTTTTGCATTTCCAGATAATCCATTATAAACATACTATCATTGATCTGATTATCCGAAGATTTTGTTCTATTCGAAAAACATATTATTTCATGATTTTCAATAGACATTGCATGCACAATGCAAGATTTTAAATATCTCCACGCAACAGGTGCTCCACTTACATTGAGAATTCTATTCTCTTATATATATAGATATATAGTGCAAACTTTTTTCACTTTTTTTCGTATATTTGTTTCGATCAATATCTACAAATCACGAGACACCCTGTATATAGTTACATTTCACGTATATATATACACATACTTATATAGATACACCTCTTTCTCGATAGCATCCTCCTCCACCTCGTTTGCTAGCTTCTTCCTCCACCTCTTCCTCCTCCACTCATCGTCTGGTCTCCGTCGGCTGGCTCTGGAACAATAGCACCTCGGCTACACGGTGGATGAACTTCTGAGACTGGAATCGGCTCTGCCCACTCTGTGAATTTCGTTTCCGTAAAAATGGCCACAGGAGGAAAGAGGTCGGCAAGAGATCTAAAAGGCAACCTATATCCCCGGCCGAGGTAAACGTACCTCAAAGTACAGGCCTCGATAAATGCATCGCTTCACTCAATCCCGGGGCCCATTGCTGAAAAATAGAATGTAAATAAGCGTTTTCAACCGGCCACGAGGGGGAAGTGGCTTTCCACTTTTGTTTGCCGGCCTCGCGAGGGAGGGAGCCAGTTGCCACAGTGAAATGTCAAACGTGAATTATTCGTATCGCAACCGATAAAGCTCAGAGATAAGCCTTCTCATGGAAATCGACCGATCGTCGAACCTGCTGCCTTTTGATCGAAACAAGATTGATCCATGGTTTATTAATTAATTCTTGCGCTTTACTGTGGGTAGAGTTAAGATTAATCCAGAAATATGAATATTGTATATTTGTGAATATATGAGTCGTTGGTAAATTATTTTTGAAAGATTGGTTCTAGAGAAAATAAATGTTGAAATTGGTGTATAAGAGTGATATATCTTTTGTGGATATATGAAGTATTGATATATTTATAGATCATATTTGGGGATTTTTGAGGATTGATTTTAGAGAAAATAAATGTTAAGGTTTGATTTTGGCTTTGAAATTACATAATCTCATTTTGCATCTTGCATATAAATTTAAATTATAATTCAATAAGGAAAATGACATTTTTTGATATATCATTAAAATTATAATGTTATAGTATATTCAAAAATTCTGAAGACAATCAATTAAATAATTATTCCAATGGTTTAGTATTGATTTGTCAACTGAAGATTTAAGAAATTGAATTACATGAGTCATTTTCAGTTAATGCTACTCCCAAACAATTATAATTTTAAATATATAAATATCTGCTATATAAAAGCATATTCATATATGTTAAAGTGCAAAAATATTAGAAATTAATTTAATTTGAAAACTTTAGAATTTTATAAGATTCTATCAATAAAAGATACAAGTAATAATTTTCTCTGCAATCAACAATTCAACAAATATAAATTTCAAATTATATCACTTTTCTAACAAGTTGATATGACAAATAACTTTCCAGAGAGTTCTATAGTTGTCATGCAAAGATAAGAAGATTAACAATAAGTGAAAAAAAAGCACACATCATACTCACATACACATACACTGTGATCTCAAACAAACATATATATATATATATATTAAAATAAAGTATAACAAAGTGATACAACAACTTAGCTACAACTTAAAACCATTACATCTCTTTTTATTATTCACAGACACGTGTCCAAATGGATAATCTCCAAACAAGAGACTTCAGATTTGTGGCCGCATTTTAATTACACGTTGCGTTAACCGTCGAAAAAGATTTACCTTCTTCTCCTTTGCTGTTGCACCTGCATCGTGTCCCAGTTCGGTATCGGCGAATGTAAATTGTTATCGGCGTCGAATCGGTTTCGCGACTACCATCAAACTACACCGTATCTGCAATTCAGCGTAGAACCGCCTGTTGGCCTAAAGAGAGTACACTCTTGACCGCTTGCCGACATTTTAACATACGAATAAATATATTCTCACTAGCTGGCAGAGAGCACGATTCGTGGCCTCTTACCACCTCCCCCGTAAACAATGCTCAGCTGCGGAGAACAGAAACGCCACGAGTACAACTTAATCTCATCGCGATGGAAAAGACCAAGCTGCGATGATGGAGGGGAAGGAAGGCTTGCACTTGATCGCGTATGAGATAAACAAGAGACGCGTGTGAGATAAATAAGTGAATTTTTTTTTGAAAGAAAAGAAATCAAATCAAATATAAATTGAGAGATTTGGAATTTTTGAAGGAATCGATAAAGGTATTCTGAATTATTTTGATTAAGTTAAATGTGATAGTTATATTCTGATTCATTATAGAATGCACATAATTTTAATTTAAGTTGAAGGAAATTTATCATAATGTGAATTTAATATATATTCAGGATTAAGCAGAAAGATTACTTGGATGAAATATAAGGAGCAAACTGGTTTTGCAAGATAGAAATATTCTGAACTACCTGTAAGATTTTGAACACTTTGATATTCCTGAATTTATCATAATGTGAATTTGATATACATATATTATTTGGATCAAATGTAAACTGAATTTGGAAGAAATAGAATCATTAAAGGTTTGTGAACTACCTGTAAGATTTGATGGTTAAAGAGTTATTCTAATATGCCTGAATTTATTATAATGTGGATTTAATTAATATGTACATTCAATACTTAAGAGAAAATTAATAAGAAATTGCTAGAAAGAGAATTGATAAAGAATATACTAGCAGTTTAGTAGAAACTAAATCTTTTTCATCAGATTTTTAATTATATTGAAACATCATAATTGTAATTTCATGTTATGATACTTTAAAACTTAATCAAACTTTATCATAGCTTTTACAAAGTTGAAAAGTAGTTAGATTTCACAATGAACAGTCTAACTTCTAATTAACCTTTATCTCATATTGTGATACTTTATCACTTCATCAAAGTATATATGATATTTCAATTTCATCATCAGTTAAAACTAAATAATAATGACTTTACACATATACAATATACTTCTGATTGAAAAATAATACAAGAAAGAAGAAGGATAAAAATGGGCAAAAATAGTTAGAAAACAAGTAATTGAATTGAATTAAAAAAATTTTGAAAAAGAAAAAAACTTTTAAAACCAATCACTTGACAAATATCATAACCAATTACATTCAGTATCAAATAAATTAAAAAAGGAAATGGAAAGGAAACTTGGTGATGAACCGGATATAATCTAGGATTCAAAAAATAAACCAACAAGCTTCCCCCAACGCGAAACTTTGTCCTTTAACCGATCGGAATCGTACTCGAAAACATTATTCACCCTCGTCATTCCCTCCTCCCCCTCCCCCTCTCTCATCTTCGACTTCTGGCGAACGATCCACCCTGCCAGAACCCAGTCGCCTCGTCCTGTTCGTTTTCTACGGCGTTGCTCGATTAACCCAAGACAAGATCGGGTTCTGGTACGATCACGAAACTCATTTGTTCCTTTATATCGTCTGCACACTCTCCTTCCCTCTTTTTCTCCCCTTTATCTACCCTCTCCACCTCTCTCGCACGGCCGTGCATTACTTACGTCCGTTTAGATCCCTCTACCTGCTTGAACCTTGTTTCACCACCTAATCTAAGCTTAGAATCTTTCGAGGAATATTGCGATTATGCGTTCGTGGAAACTGTTATTGACATGAACTGCGCGCGCGCGCTTGCGCGCGCATACCGGACGCAGACACGAATTTCACGCGCCTCCTACGAAGCGGAATCTTGAACTTTGGTCGAGCGTAATCTGATTGTAGTAGGGCAAACGTCGATTTCAGGCAGGCGAGTCTTCGAGAAGGAGGGATAAGAGATGAATTTCTCGATATCCTATCTTTGCATCCGTCCGTTTCCGCGGAAATTCCGCGATTCTTCCTCGATGGATCATTTTTTCTCGAGCTGGTTGATCTAAAAGGGGGGAGGGGGGATTTTAGTCGCGTTCGAGATACGTCTTTTATTTTTTTACGTCGAATGCGCGATTCGATTATTTGTGGAAATTTCTATTCTTGAATCAATGCAGTTTGATGTGCATATTCATTTTTCAGAGATTAATTTGAAATTGAAAACGAAGAAATGACGTACGTATCAAAAGAATAATAAAATATATAGATTCGTTGAATTTTGATATAATTAATTTGATAAGGAAAATGGAATTCTGATACAATAGGAATTATGATTCACGTTATACATTATTGGTTAAAAAATAATAAAATACATTGAAATTATTTCAATTCAAAATTCATTTTTCCAATTCAGTTTATAAATTATCTATCATTAACAAAAATTATGCAGAGTGTAATCAAAGTGATTCAAAAATTCTATTAACTACATTGATCAGAAGAAGAAGAAACAACGCTAATTATAAATTGCAGTTCCAAACAAGCGTAAATTAGATAGATATCTAAATAAAATATGAAACATCATCTGGACCGCAGAGCACAAAATTTATTTTTCCAATTATTTACCCATCAATTAAAAATTCCTCGATCATTTACATCAAGTACATATATCAGAAACAATGTTAATTGTAAGTTGCAATTTGAAACAAGAGGAGCATAAATCGATATCAAACACCATCTGGACCGCACAATTCAAAATTCATTCTTCCAACCCGCTTCTTAACCAAATTATCCAATCGCCAATTCACCTCAACCACTTACGATCATCGAGTATATCGATCGGAAGGAAACAAAGTTAATTGTAAATTGCGATTCCAAATGAGCCGTTAATCGCGAAGAGGGGAAGAGAGAAGTCTGTTGGAAGCGATCTCCACGAAGGGAGAGGCCTTCGCGATATTCCGGTGGTCGTGATATCAAGGGTTAAATCTCTGGCGGCCTCGTTTTTTCGGAGCCACTGGAAGCCCAGCGTGCAGATAATACCGACAAAGTCAAGGCTAGTACGCACGATTGTGCGCATGAAAAAAGGACCCTGCTAGAAGACGTAACGAAGTTTCAGAAAAGATCAATAATTTCGGGACCAATAATATCGCGCGTACATACAAAATAAGAATCGAAATGGGCAAGGCCGACGATAGATAGACGAGTGTGCATTCCGGTGGACTTGTTTAGAAACGACACCTAAACGCGTGCAGAAAAACGGTATAGGTTATGGAAAATGATTGTTTTCGCTGTTTAATGAAATAGTTCGGTATTTGGCCGATAGAGGCGTCCGAGTTAGTGATTCGTTTCGCGAAGAATCGTTTCGAAGTGTGTGCATCAATTTTATAGATCACAGAATTTATAGAATTCGTTCATTCGAAATTCGGATCAAATTTAATTAATCCTTATTACGAATAATTTTCTAAAGGATAGTTACATTCGTATCTTTGTTAAATCTAATCTACATGCAATATGAGATGAGTAAACGTAAACTGTCTTTAAAAATTCCCTATTTAACCTATCTTTGGAACATACTGATATATATCAATCATTCATCTTGACAAATTAAACCAACTAATAAAGAAATAGAACTGTCAACCGTAAAAATAACATCATGAAACAATCCTTTAATATTTCCATGTATCTTATTAAAACAAAATTCCTATGTTTCATTTCGTTACGTTACATTCAGTACGTTTCCTTCTAAAATGAATGAGTAACAAGGAAAATCCTCGAGAATGAGAAATCCTGATTCGGAAAAAAACGTGTGACACGCGTCTATGGACGAACTTGTCGGAGGAATCGAGGAACCGACGGGTTGGCCAAGCCAAAGCAATAATAAGCCATAAGCGCAGCCTGTGCATAGAATGCTGGGTAATGAGGTGGAGTCGAGAGCGGAGTCTGGAGCCGCACCCTTGCCTTTACCTTCCCCGACCCACCTATCCCCGAACCCAACGAATCAACGGACGAACGACGGCGACTAGGATCGCGAGGACGAGCAACGAGGAACAAGATTACAACATTATTACACTGCGTGGATTTCGAGAGAAAGAGAGAAAGATAAATTATTATATTTATGAAAATGCACGCCGGGTGTACGAAGGTGGAATCGCGGTTGTGTTTACGGAGGTGGGACCCCTCGAGCGCCGACCACGTTCCACCAAAGAGTTCGTTTCAAGAGAGAGTGAAGAGAGAAAGAGAGAGAGAGAGAGAAAGAACTTTTGTCCCTCCTGATCGCTGGTCTGCATTGCACCACGCCTGTACAGCTTCGATCAGAAGTGACGGGTGCGATCGAGCCTCTCGAACGAAAGTTTCCAGGTTGATCTCGTTCAGAATTTGATGTCCTTAAGACGTTATAAGCACACTAGTGTGAGAATGTGAATGTTCGAAGAATATATATGAATGTACGTTTAAATCGTTTAATAATTTCAAGATTTGAACATCTTGAAGATATGGATTTGAGAAGTGTGAAAAAATACAGTTTTTAGGAAATGAAAATGTGTTTGTATTAAATGGATTTTAATTCTTTAATTACTATTGTATTATTGATTGATTGATGTAATACAATTATTAAAGTATCAATAGAAACTGTTACAAAAATGTAAGGAAAGAAAACAATTGTTTACTGGTTGATTTTTCAAGAGATACTTCGCAAAATATTATTTGTTGAAGAAACCATTGCTTCAAATTTTATTTATTTCATTACAATGTATTCGAGTTTGTTTGATTGATGCACATTTTCAAAACATTGAAGGAGATCGTTGATTATACTGTAAGTTAAAACCACAATTTTTTTTTTTCTTTTGCATCAGAGAATAATAGGCGAATATTTTAAGGAATAAAAATTTTAGTACAATTTTTTTCCCAAACAAGTAGTAACTTTAAATTTGGACATATGCACAAAGATTATTAGAAATCTTCCATTTACTATTTTTTTAGGTTATGTATGTTTCGACTAATGACTATATTCAAGTTGATATCAATCTTATCCGAATATAATTTACAATATCAATCCTATTTTTCGTATTACACACTCTACATAATGTTCTTTCACGTAGCAAAGATAATTTTCAAATCTCTAAGTTCTTCACGATCAGATCAATCGTAATCGTTAGCACCAACGACTCCTCTCTCGAACCATCGTTCCCGTTCTTTCACTTACATCAATATCCCATTAACGATGAAGAGGCAGACGAAAATTCAAACGAGAATGAGATTAAATCGTTTTTTTAATGAAACGGAGAGTGCCATAAATCGTTCTCCATCGTTTCGTAAAAAGCGATTCGTTAACATTCTAACAGGCGACGAAGTAAAACGTTTCCGGATATTCGTTACTGTGAACCAGTAATATAGCTTTTTTCTACTCAACCACCCGTAGTGAACGGCATTGTGCTACGTGACAGAATTTTATTGGCTAGTCTCTGATAGATTTCCCTTTTACGAGGTTTTTGCGATATATGAAATTTCGATCGATTTAGGTTATGTATGTTTCGATTGTGAGGGAACGATTGTCGTCTCGAATTTTAAAAATTTTGGGGACATGGATGAATGGGTAAAAAAAAGGGAATCGCATAAGTAATAAGTTGGTTAGTTTTTTTTTGATAAATAAATATATCTTCTGTAGATAATATAGATATTGAATTTTTTTTTATTGTTTTAGGTTTTTAAAATAATCTGAAAAAATTCTGGAATATTTATCGAAATCTCTATTTCGTTGCATTGCATCGTTTTAAATTAAATATTTAAAAGGTTTAAAAATAAAAATCCCTTTGAAGATGGACAAAATGATACTTAATAATGAAAATTGTCTTCCTTTGAATTAAATTATTCTTTTCATTAATTTTATACATTTTTATTAATTTACAGTTATTTTTGTCTCTATGAAAAAGAAACGCATTTAATTTTTCTTATTGTCGACCGCCATTTGTAAATCAGAAGATTAAAATCTTTGGTATTCGAACAATTCTGTTAACATCATAATCATATATATTCGAGTACTGACGGACAAAATTATAATTCTATAGTCTTTGTAAAAATTATCTTGGAACGCTCCATCACTCTCAAAACTGTCAACTGGGAAATTATCTAACTATCCATAATCTATATGAAAATGATTTTGTCACTTCGTTATTGTTCAAACAAATGACGAATGCATTCTGTATGCAATAGATAAAAATAAAAAGAAACAAAAAAAAAATAAAAAGATTCGTATGTTAGAACAAAAGCATCCAAAATTATTTTTATATTCAAGAAAATTTATTTTAATATATTTCAAGATAATTATTGACAATTTACATCCTGTAAAATCATTATGATATTAAGTTGGCATAAATTATAAATTTTAAATCGTATAATATTCAATTTATAACAAATTGTATAAATCGTACAACAAATTATAAGTAATTAAATTAAAGATCTTATCGATCCATAAGCATACGTTGGAAAATCAATTTTTCTAAATTCCAACGATATATTGAAACGATAATACCATTATCCCCCTCGAAAATTTTACTTTCACAGACTCGTCGACGAGGACACGAAACATGTTGAGAGAAATTGACAAACGCTCGTGTCATTCATCCCCCTTCGCGATCCATCGTGATGGAAATGTAGTACCGTTCTTGTGTTCGTTCCACCTCCAACCCGGTGTCCTCGACGAGGAGGAAACGTCTTCGTCGTGGAACAAACTCGGCTGTTAACGCTCACTGGGATACATGCATAACGCAGCACGACAATTGCCGTTTCGTACCGCGATATTTCTCGCTTCGAGACACCCAAGGTAACGCGGCACCGCGGCGATGAATGATTTTCCAGGAAGAGATTCAAACGGTGCGCCCACATAGAGACGCAATCAGGAATGCCGCGAAACTTGTATTTATCGTTCGAAGTTTTCATCGACGATCGGGTGGGCAGTTGGGATTAATTTTCGTCGCGATCCCTTGGCAGCTTGTTGAGCGATGGGTGGAGTAATACTTTGTTGTTCCATGTCAAATTGGGTGAATTTTATTGTTCCGTTTTATTTGATTTTTTCCTTTTTTTTTTTTTTAGGTTTTAATCTAAAAAGTGTATCTATTTTAATTTTTAAGTATATTATGATCGTGAAATTCAGTTTTATTTCATCATTTAACTAGATAAAATTCTTCTCTTTATGTGATATAATTGATTATACTTAACTCTATGAAATAAAAATTAAAGGTAGAATATTTTACTATTTCTTTAACAAAAAGAATGGAAGATAAGATCGTTATTGTTATGAATCCTTCAATTATAAAAAGTCACTAATTGATATACTCCTTATTACGAACTTCTACTTCATGATTTCTATTTCTTCTCTTTACCTGCAATATAATTGAATATAATAAAAAAATTTAAAAAAGAAAAATTATAAATATTAAACTATTTTTAAAGAAAACAAACAATAAAAATTCGTTTTTATTATTGGCACAAAAATCCAATAATTGACATGCTTCATAATTATTATCCACGTCGATATGGTCACAATGCTAAAGTCAAAGAAATCTGAATACCCTCCCCCTCCTCCTCCCAGTAGCCGTCATTTATGAGCTAGCAAGAACTCGATTACGGCTACCGAACGAGGACGAACGCATCAGATAATCCATTAAGATCGGCAGAGGTCTGGCTGATCGCCGGGGACAGATTACTTTTCCGTCGGGCAAAAGCCGGGAGCCGGAGATTGTCGCGAGGGACACACACTGGGCTTCCTTTGCCTTATTGTCCACGTGCCCAACATGTATGGTATGCTTATACGACGAACGAAAAGTGAACAGAAGTTCTCAAAAATGTTGGTTGACGCTAGATCATTAGTTATGACCGAGATGGTTACCTAAAAAATTTTTTTGGATAAATTTTTAATTGTTTTTTTATATGCGTAAGTGTAAATATACTTACATACGTGATATTAATTATTAGAATGTAAAAATTATTCTTCTAACTTTGTTTTCCTCAAAGTTTCATGTTCTATTCATATAATATGTTGTTTTTTTAAAACTAATTTATATTGTTTTTAATATTAAATAAATATTTTTTTTACTATTTCCTTTTCCTTTTAAAATTAAGATTCTATGATTTTAAAAAGTTAATTAAAATTGACCTATATATAATAAACATTAAAAAATAGAAAAGAATTTTAGATTAAATTCATCATTAAATAAAGTTTGAGAAATTAAATATCCCAGTATAACTTTTTCATTTAGTTCTAAATTTTTAACAATCCTTAATTTCTATATGATGTGAAATATTCAAAAATATTTGACTGAATATGATTTCGTGGCTATTATTCTTTTTTTATTATTTTCATTTTCATTGGAGATTCTAATATCAATGTCGTTAATTACACAATTTAAAAGAACAAAAAATCACTTTTTTAGTGAAAAATTTTCAAATCTACCATGATAGGTAAATGATAAAGAATTAGATGGAAAAAGAAAAACCCTCCATCATAGATGATCGCGCCATTCTCGGCGTATCGGTGATGTCTTTGTCCGAAAAGTAACTGTCAAAGTTGAAAGAGCAAAGTATCGTAGTGTTGCACGCTAGAGATGTGTATGTGCATCGTACAACCTCGTGTTCGCAACCCCTCCCAGCGTTCTCGTGTGGGTGTGCCGAGTACCTGCACGCAACGACACGCTTGCGCGTAACCGCGTATATATGCATTATTGGCTTATAAGCGGGACGAGGAAAGCGGGAAAGGCGATATTATCGAAAACGAGCCAGAAGGGGATAGAATGAGCGAGGAAACGACGGAGAGAAAGGTGAAATAAAGAGACAGAGTGAGAAAACGAGATGTAGCGAGAGAAAATTACAGAGGAAGAAGAGAGAAAATAAAGAATGGAGCGAGTATGCGTTCACGCTATATGTATGTCCATGTATGCGTGTGACCGAGCGCACAACGAAGGCTAAACACCGACACGACAGGACACAGGGCACAACACACGACGCCAACGGAGATGAGATACATCACGGGACGGGAGACGTATTATTAATGGTGACAGTGGGCGACCCAGGTTGGGCGGGGTGCACGATGCGGTCCCACCGATGTGGGCCTCGCTTTCGACCTCTTCTTCTTCTTCGTCTTTGTTGTTCGTCTCATTTTCTGATCTCTCTTTCTTTCTCTGTCTCTTTCTATAACACTATTTTCAGATTGCTGCTGCCTATATTAACTATTACCGTGTGCGGACACGCTGTATAGAAAAATTAAATGAACGGATTTTCTGCTTCGTAACGTCGATCGGTTGTGATTCGATCAAATCAATTCGACGCGGACCGTTTCGGCGTTTAGTTATAATTCATTCGTAAATCGAATTGGATTAGCGGATTTTGTGTCGTGTCAGACAAACTTAACGGAACCACCAGTGTGTAGTAAAAGGATTTTATAAGATGATCTTTTAATTAATTTAATTTAAAATTTAAAATTAATATATTACAAAGAAAATAAGATATTTCAATTTATTATTTATATATTTCTGTAAAATGAATGGTAAAATAGAGTTTAGAATTGATATTAAAATGTCAAACTTTTCGAAAATCCAGTATTACATATATATATTATATGATTTTAATGATCTTACCCTTGTTGTACCAACAAGTTTCATCTCACAATAACTTTCACTATACCATCGAACAGAAGTATCACTTTAGTATCTAGTTATTATCATTAGATTTTCTTATACGACAAAAACTGTCCTTATTCGGTATACCATCGATCGATGTCAATTTTGCTCGCCACGTAGCGCATCAGTCGCGCAACGGTTAGGTCTCGATAAATTTAATTGTGCGCTCGCTCGCGAATCGATACATCATGTATATTTATTACTGGCGTCGCGTGCGTGTAATTTAGCAATCGTTCGATCGCGATCGTATATAAACGGCGTGAAACTCATCGAGAAGAGCACATTTCAAGTCACCGGTTAAAGGACCGTCGCGATTAAGAATCAGAACTTGATGCTCAAGGGTTAAGCAAATTGTTTCTTAAACGAGGCGTTTCTTAGGCAAACTGTCAGAGGGCGCTAGAAATGTTTCGGTGTGCCATAAGATTTATCGCGCACTCTACGCGCAATTAAAGAAACGTATAGAGGGGAGTGAGGGAACACGAACGGGTGCTAGTAACTAATTCTAGACAGTATTCTAAATGCCGAGCGAGAAGTTTTTCGCTTGATTCTGGAAATGTCACGTTCCAGCGATGTTGCATCTGCGAGCAGAACGAAATTCTCTGAGTGCCGGTGTGCGAGCATAGAAACGTGGCTTAATCGACCATTGGTCCGGCTAAGTTCGCCACGTGCGTAAATCACCGCGGAATCGTTAATTAACCGGTAGAACGAACGAGCTTTCTGGAAAATGTCAGCGACCAAGGAGGTTACACATTGAATGGACGTTACATGCATGCGCGCGCACATATCGGATTGTTGACAGGTACAAAAAGACATTTCGGCACGAGCGATCTGCGCGCGCAGGGGAGTCAACGTCTAATCGAGAGACGTAATTTGTCGCGATCTCCGTTGGCGTTAATTTATCACGCTTCGAGGAATTCACGAGTCGGCCGGTCGTGTACATGCGCGCCCAGATTAAGCGACGTGGATAAGGCAGCCTATTAGCATCGGTTCAAATGAGATTTCCGAAGTATGTTCGCCGCTGATCGACTTATTGTGACCTGCATGCGCTTTGCATACATTTGCGTGCGTCGCGCACGCGCGCGTGCTCGCCTGTCGCCTGTTGCGATAACAGAATTTTTAATGATTCTACCGCGCACTGTGATCGAGTTCCCTTTATAACGCGGAATGAATTTGAAAATTATTCCATCAAGATCTTCATATAAAATCTTAGTTTTTAATGAGAAATAAGATTTTTATAAGGTATGTTAACAATTTCCTATTATATAAATATATTTTATCAATAATAAATCAAAAAAATTATTTATTGATACACAATTTTTATTCTATAAATAAGGTTAAAATTCAGAAAAACAGAAGAGACAAAATTTAAAATTGGATTATGGAAATTTCAATTGAAAAATCAAAAAAGCAATGAGATTCTTAATCATTTACATCAAATAAACTTATGTTGACAAATAATAATATTAAAAATTTAAATTTAATCACAGTGAATAAATAAATATGAAAAGAGTTAAATTTAAACAGTCTCAAAATCGAAGCATTTACTCATTCACACGTACAAGTACAAAACAGTGTTGTGACTTATTTATTATCATAAAATAATTAATTATTTCAATTTTTTACTATTTTCTTCCAAATAAAATTTAAAATAATTTAAAAAATGTTTTAGAAAGTCACCGACAAAAAAAATCATTAACTTAATCGCTTAATATCTTCCAAAGTTCTCTAAGATCTCTATCATCTTTATCAAAGTTACAAACACTTTCTCTTCACCATACATCGAATCTCACACCGACGCTGAGAAGGATTACGATCAGAAGACGACGAAACAACGGCTCGATAACTGATCCAACAAGGGCTAAAGTGTTTCCAATCCGTGAGCGGCTCGCTTTTGACCGAAACATTGAAATTAATGAAGTCGTCTGACTAGAGCCGAGAGCAGGGTAAATTAGAGGTACACGGCAACCATTAGAATACTTAACGAGGACGTCATGGTGGGAAGCAGTGCGCGGGTGTGATGATGAATCACTGCCGGCTAGCTCACCGCGGAGCGCGCCCAGGAATATTAAATTAAGTTTACTTATTGTCGGCCAAAAAGTCTAAGCCGCCATCCCTTCTTCATCCATGTTGGTTCCTCTTCGTTCTTCCAACGACGTTCGGATGATTTCACTGTTTCCTCGAAACATACGGAAGCAAATGGACGAATCCGACCGCAACGAGGGTAAAAAATTTTGGGGTAAAGAGTTGAAGAGAAGAAAGAAGCATTGCGGTTTCTTTTTTTTCTTCAGTCTTCTTTATTCCTTTCGTCTGACTTGTTTTCTTTTTCTCGTCGCAGATATTCGTTATTCCTCGATGACATGGGTACACGTATATGCAAAAAGTGCAAAGATGAAAGTTATAGAAATTCTTCTCTTATTATTATGTTATTTTAATTACCATTTACAACTTGGAAGGAGTAATTTCATGTGGTTTAAAGTGGACATAATTACAGAATATTATTATGATTTATTCAATGCAATTTTGATTTGTTCTTAAATAATTCATTGGCTATGATCATATTGTATCCATTAAGGTAAAAAAAAAAAATTAAGAAATTAAAAAAAAAAGTATTAAGAAATTAAATTTCATATCACAAGAAATTTTTTGCAGTTGCAAAACGAACCTATATCTTGTCAGATAATGCCATCTCCGCCACACAGAAGAATATAATTCCTAATTCAAAACGTCATTCTAATGGATTCGAATAAGGCGGTAACAAATTCACGACGTAAATCCTCCAAACCTAAGTAATTCCCCCAATCACGGGGTAATTTATCAGAAGAAATCAGAATCCCAAAGAAATTCTCTTCCTTTCACGAGCCACCCGTACAAAGACAAGCGACAAAGGAGAATTCCATTGAATCTCGACGTGAACGTCCTGAGAGCTTTTACCTCTCCGCGTCAACCCTGCTCGCTGTCGCGATGAAAAGTACGCGTATCGCAAAAAAGGGCAGCGGTGAGGTTCGCCGCTCCTGAAGAAGAAGAAGAAGAAGAAGAAGGAAAAGAAGGAGGAGAAGAAGAACCGAAGAGGTAAGAAGAAACTTGGGGCGACAAAAATGGACTTTACAGGGAGATCTAGAGAGACTTCGCTACCATCCTTTTTTTTCCTCCCTATATTCTTTTTCCAATTGTCCTTTTTTTTCCCTCCCTTTCTTCTCTCTCTTTCTCTCTCATTTCTTTCTTTTCGTTTTCTCTTTTTCTTTACCCACTACCTCCCTCTTCGAGGCCCAAGCCGTTCGGGTTAGCGTCTCCTCCGGAGTTGAAATATACAAAATGAAATATGAAATAATGGTTCGTGCCTTGTGGCTGGCTAAAGGCACGGGCGCACCCATATCTACGCCCCCATGCGCCTATGTACCTATACGGCCCGGTATACGCCGATCCCGTGTACATATGTACGCGCACACCATATACATCCGCCTCGCTCAAGTTTTTCGTTCTTGTCGTGAACATCTTACGTTCGTATTAACCCTTATCCATGCTTAATGATATTCCGGCCTACTATGCCCGGACGGGCATATTGAACGCAACTAAGGCAGATTCCAGTCGAACGAGGACGGCCGGCCAAGCCCTCCTGTTGTAATTCGTATCTGCGTTCAACCATTTTTCCGCTTCCTCCAACCAACCAAAGAGGACCGAAGACGACCACGACGACGTCTGGCGGGCAATTAGGGACCAGACTCGTAGCATGAATTAAAGAGTATCGATGGACAAACGGGCGTTCGTCCTTATCGATCCTCGAAATAACGCCGCCAAGATACTTTTTGCTTCTTTAGTGGCACCGAGATTGGATTGGTTGTATGTAGGAATAAGTGAATGCGGATCTTAGGTGGAAGAATTTATAGGTTCGCGGTGAAAGATTGGATTCGATTGGTGTAGCGTTTGGGTACGTATCTGTGTATGTTATAGGTAAGATGGAGTTATTGCCTTTTTGTGATTGGTCGATATGGATGATTGGTTATATGGAGTTGTATAGATAAGATAGATTGTGGACATTTGTTTTTTTTTTTTTGGGCTTGATTTCGTTTTTTGTTTTTATAGATCTTTGGATGAAAGTAGATTGTATTTATTTTTTTCGTACTATCGATTTTCGGAATTGTTGAATTAATTTTGGTTAGTTTTTAAGATTTTTGAACGAAGATAGATTGTAGATTTGTGTGTAGTTTGATGTGATGGTTTTTAGAGGTTGATAAAATTATTGATTATTAGTCGGATCAAAAGGCGCGAAATTTGAAGTTTTTTTTTTTTTTTTTTTTTTAAGAAGAGAGATTAATTGGTGTGATGAAATTAATACGTTGTTTGCTACTTCGAAACTAATATATAGTATATTATTATATCCAACATTTATTGTGTAATCATTTGAAAATGCAAATGTGTATTTTTAATATGTGCAATATACGCTTCATCCTTTTCCTGTTTATTTCAATTAAACTCAACGATAATATCAGATTTTTAACTATCAAGATTTTACAAATAAAAAATATTTAAATACATTGACGCAACATTGATTATCATTTTAAAAATATTATTATTAAATATTATTAGATATAAAATTTTTAAACAAAACCGCAAAATTAATTATTTTTTCTACTTTGTTAATTGGTTAAAAATGAATATTTAATGAATATTAAATCAAATAATATTCCATATGCAAAGAAAAATAACAAGTTTATGACATTTTATGATTGGATGCAAAGTTTATATCTTTATTTATCTATGTACATAGTTCAATCCGGTCCGGATTGAAACATTCAAAGAAAATTTCTTGTTTTATGAATAATTCCTTTAGTAAAATGTTTTATGACAGAAATTGAAGCATTTCATTATGCAACTTTGAATGCTTCCATTTTGATTCCATTTTAAAAGATTGACTTTAAGATTTCTTGCATGAACAATTGAAATATAATTAATATAAATTAGAAGATTGATCTAGAAATATAATAAACAGATCAGACATGAATATTGAATATATGCATATAAAACTTTTTTAATGGTGTTAAAAATGAAATCATTTTTAATGATCCTTTCAATGTAAATGAATTTTGCAAATTCAGATCTCTTGAATTAATCAATAATTAAAATAAAATATTAAAGAAATATAAATTTTAAATCACTCTTCACTAATAATTAATCCTCTGTAATATCCTTCAGTTCAATTCAAATATTTTCAATATTTTAAGCTTTTAAAAATCCTCATTCATCATTATTTCATTTCATCATCCGTTAAGATTTATTTATAATTATTAAAGAAGCTTTATGAATAAAAATCAGAATAGAAATTAAGAAATATATAGAAAGTTGAAAAGAATGGCATTATTAATATTATAAAAAAAATCTATAAAAAACCAAAATATTAAAATATCTCTCTCTTTCTTCTAAAAAAAAAAGATCTATCTAACCAGAAAAAAGATTCACCATCTTGAAAACTTCTGTTCCTCAAGGTATTCTTGAAAAAAGAATTCAAATAACCATTTCCTTACACCCTTCCTTTACAGCACATGCAACCACATGTAACATTACTCATCAAATTTTTATTGCCTTTCACGCCGCCCCCTGAATTCAGGAAGACCAGTGGTAAGCATCTCGGATATACCTCTACATACAGTCTCGTTCAAAAGTCGCAGAAATCGCGAAGATAAATTCTTACAACAAAAATTATATTTTTAATAAAAATTTAATGTTTAAATCAATCAACTTTAATGAAAATTTTTAGTAAATATATTAATACATAAGCATCTGATTATTTATTTATTATATAATAATATATTTAATTTGTTACTTAAGTTTTTATAATTTTCAAGCATTATAAAATATATCGAATAAAATAGAAAATTTAATAGATGATTTTAAAAATTCAAACGATATTTTTTTTTCTTAAGTTCTGAGCAATTTATTTTTGTTTCATCATGCGCAGAAATGAAACTCATCGCTTAGAATGATCCTTAACTTTTTTCATCCTATGTGTAATAAGTGATATAATAAATGATCTAAGACTTTTGAACAAGGGTGTACATACTGTACATAACCTAACATTGCAATGTCGTATCGAAAATCGTGGCACCGTTGCAGCTAACGGACGACCCTCGTGTATTTCAGGAAAGAAATGGCGAGGGTTGACCCCGCAGGACAGAAGGCCGTACGTCGAGGAAGCCGAGAGGCTGAGGGTCATACACATGCAGGAACATCCGAACTACAAGTACAGACCACGGCGCAGGAAACACGCGAAACGGGCCCCAGGAGCGCCCTCTTCTCCTCCATCGGCGACCAATACCACGACCAATAGGTCCAACCCCTCTGGTACCACGATTCATCATTCCATGTAAGTCCACGTAACATCGAAGTTCGTCCGCCATTTTTTTTTAATTATTATCCCTTGTTCCGAATTTTAATTTATTTATTATATTATTATATTATATTATTATTTATTATATTATATTATTATTTATTATATTTATTATATTATTATATTCATTATATTAATTTATTTAATTAATTCGAATTTGCGAATAACTCGATGTGAATTTTGCGATTAATTTTTATTCTTAATATTCCTTTAACAAGAATAAAATTCATCGAATAACAGATAACTAGGATTAGGATAATTGCACACTGCATACTTATAACGGAGACATGGTTAGTTTTAGTAATGAGATGCACTACTTTCGTTATGTGATTAGATATATCCTGGTTACAAAAAGTACATTTGCAAATACTTTTTATTTTTCAATGAAATTCTATTTATTAGTATTTTCAGTTCGTTAATTATTGTGCTGTATGTATATTGTTAAAACAAATTAATTAATTCAAATAATGCTTCAAACATTCCATTTCTCTTTTTTTATCTAACAAGTAAATTTCGTTCGCGTTAAAAGCGTTCCTTAAAAGAAATACGAAGTGACGTTTGATATTTATTTAAGGTCTAAGATGGACAGTTATCAAGGCATTCCTCAGATCCCGTGGGGCGGCCATTCCCCGATCTCATCCCTGTATCACCAGCAGCAACAGCAAGGTATCCAGGAGTACAAATCGGAGAGCAATTCCTTGTACGGTAGTCCTTATACGCCTATCATTCACTCACCGGACATATCTCCAGTTGCCAGTCCCGAGCCAGATGGTGAGACCTTGTACTCGCATTAATTATCGTTCAGACAGCCATGGAACTTGTGGAATTATATTTGTATAAATTATCACTATTATTTTACAAATTGGATATATAATTTTTTTTTATAATTTTTTCTTTATTATATATAAAAAAAATATTTTATTCATAAAATTTTATATTGCAATTATATATATATATATATTTTTTAATTTTCTATTGTCATTAGAATCTTTTTTATATTGGGAATGTTTTGAACAGAAAGTTATTAACAATGAAAGATTTTTTTGAAATTTTTTTTCATTGAAAATTTCTACTTCAATGATTAGTATTTTTTGAACAATTAATATTTCAATTTGAAATTTTCTTTTTATTTTTGTTTGAAAGTCCTTATTACAAAGGATTAATTATTACTATTAAGTTTTATTAAGAAAATATATAATTCTTTTGTTTGTTATTTCTATGTAACTGTCAAGACAGTATTAAAATTATTAATTTCGTTTCATGAATTTGGGTAATTAGGTGACGGAACGCATTTGCCATCAAACCAAAATCCAGATCCTGAACGAGATCTGATGGAGGGTTCGTCGAAGCAGCATAGCGAAATAAGCGAGCAAACGAAACGGTACACTTTCATGAGTACCGATAATCAGTTGCACACGGGTCATGCTGGTGGTACTAGCATATCGTCGTGTCAGAATTCTGGTGCTTACACAGATACTCTGACTTACAAAAAATCAGTGAGTAATGGCGTGCATACAAATGATCTTGTTGGAAACTAGGAGGACAAATATAGGCTCGTTTACTTGATTGTAATTAGAAAATTTGAAGCACTGAATATAATTAAAATATTTCATTTCATAAATTAAAAAAAATTAAATATTAATCTCTCAATAAGAGAAGAGAAATTTCAAATTAATATCTAATAACACAAAAAATGTTTTATCATATAAATCCTTAATTCAATTTTAAAAGTTTAATTAATGAAATAACTTTATATCTTCCCTGACATAACTGTATTTATTTAATTATTAAGCATATCCTAACGTCTTAATTATAATAGTAAACAAAACACACACGTGAGTGAAATTTGAAACACTGAATAATTAAAATATTTCATTTCATAAATTAAAAAAAATTAAATATTAATCTCTCAATAAGAGAAGAGAAATTTCAAACTAATATCTAATAACACAAAAAATGTTTTATCAAAAATCCTTAATTCAATTTTAAAAGTTTAATTAATGAAATAACTTTATATCTTCCCTGACATAACTGTATTTATTTAATTATTAAGCATATCCTAACGTCTTAATTATAATAGTAAACACACACGTGAGTGAAAGTTCCAACCGTAAGTTTTTTTTGTCTTCCAGGTGAGTTACTTAAATTTCGAGAGACAGCCGTCGAGCATAGCCGCGGTCGGTATAGCGAATGGGATGATGGTGTCGTGTAATAAATTACGCTCCGGATTTGAGAATGTTGGCTCTGTGACGGGGACTTTTTATCCGCCGGTCGCATCCCCGCACGATCAATCGTTGCAGCACTATACGAGCACCCAATCCTCAAAGACTGCCAACTATTCGATGCAGTCCTCCGTCGAAAGCAACTATAATCCTGTTCAGTGTGCCAATCGACAACAGTCTATGGGGATACGCGGAGCCGCCGAAGGTTGTTCCGGTAATCCTTTATTCCTTCTTATGTCATGTTACACTTGGAATTCATCCAATGATCGATTATACACAATTAGAATCGCTATTACGTTTCTATATTTTGAATTTTCCTCATGGATATATCATTGTATTAATTTTATTCAAAAAAAAAAAAAAAAAAAAAAAAAAAAAGAAATGTACTTGAAACTCATTTTTCTTCACCCCCGAATTTCAGATAATATCCCAATTATATATTAATTATCTTCTCTATGCCCAAGCGAAATTGAACAAAAGCCAATTATCTTTACCAACTCTACCATTTCGAAAATTCATTCCTCCTCCTGAATAACTAACCTCTTTACTCGCCAAAGGAAACCGGGCATTCTTCTCGACGACCGATTTATTTTCAGGTGTATCCCACCGATACCAAATGACTCATCATCAGGAATATCAAACGGAGGGAACTAGCGCCGGTCAACAGCATCCAATTCTGGGCCATATGGAGGCCGCAATGGCCAGCACAGCGGAGGAGGAACAGCAACAGACGCTACAGCTGGAGAAGTACTTCAAGTATTCTCATCCGACGAGCGTAGCTCACACCAGCCTCACCTCGCAGAATCTACTCGACAGCAATCACAATTACGCCAGTGATCTGCGTTATTATACACCTCAACAGACTCAACTAGATATGTCGAACTCTCAGTGCATCGTTGATGATCAGACCAAGGATGCTCGATGTTCAAACGTGGGTATAGCTCATGGGATGGAGCAATATCATCAGGCTATGGACGTGGCAAAATATCCGGAACATCAGCAACAGCAGCAGCAACAACAACAACAACAGCAGCCTCAACAGGCTCAACAGGCTCAACAGCCGCAGAATATCGAGCATGTTTCCAAGGCGGATGATGATTTCAGTGTAATACTTGCAGATGTGCGCAAAACTTGTTATAGTAGCTAGTGTTTCGGATAGATCAGAAATGTCTAGAAAAACACTGAGATATATTTGATATTCGCCGTTCTAGTTTTGATTTTACGAAGACCTTGATGTTGATTATAGGTCTGATCGATGTGGAAGATGGTCGTGCGGTTATTGTCATAGTAGATGTCGCAAATATTGGTTACTTGAAGTTGAGCAAGGATGAACCTTACTGTGTTGCAGCAGGACGAGAATGAAAGAAATGTGGTAATGTTTATCGCAAACGAGCGATAATCAAATTTTTTGTTAATTTTTTTATTAATAAATAATGCTATAAATATCGATAATCCGGTAAAAAAAAATAAATCCCATAGATTTTTCGAAAAAAATTTTCTAAAAAAGATAATAGAACTTTTTTTTATTTCAAAACAATTTGGGTTCTATAAAATACATTAGAATAGTATTTTCTAACTTCTATTATTAAGTTGTGAACTCTTCATAAGGTAAGAAAAATTAATTTATTGGAATTCTAAACTTTTAACCAATAATATATATATTTCTATTTAATTATCAGAATTCTAATTTAACTTTTTTTTAAATTCTTGAATTTTGTAGAATTATATAATTTCACACTTTTGTTCACATGTACATTCCAAATGTACGAGGAATATGAAAAAAGAAATATTAGTTATTTAAAAGCAAAAGTGCCTTTGAATATTTAATACTTGTGGTGTCTACTATGCTAAACAATCTTCGACTTTAGAGAAAATATAGAATTATACGGTAAAATGATCTAAATCTTTTTGAAACAGGCGATTTATCTCTTATGGCTGTAGAGAAAAAGTTAGGTGCTAGCGTCTACGAAGAATCCGGTGCTTATACACATTTTTGTACACACTTCCGGTGCTAATGCTCTTGATAACGAGATATAATTAAGGTTGCAAGGAATTGGTAATAAATTAATTTTAGCATATTTAGTATTTCTATTTTCAATGAGCAATATTAAGAAGACTACACGTACATATATCTGTGAATTTCTATTTTCTTCTTCGAAAAGAGGTTAGATGAACTAATAGAAGAGAAAGTATGGAACACAATAATTTGAACATGTTTGCGTTAGGAACAATTGTTATTTGTTACAAACGACCTGGCAACTGTCAACGTGTCTGATTTGAGGTAACGAAAATAAAGTAGGAAGCATTCTTGACTCTCCGGGTTTCGTTTAGCGAGCCAAATAGTACGCAACACTTTCAAAAGCATTTTTTCATGGATATTTTTGATGTTTATTATTTTATCATTGCTTAACTGCTATTAGTTATTAGTTGAGAATCTAACCTTTACGCTTCGACATTTAAAAATCAGTATACAAACAATTAATATAAAATCCAATTTTAATTTATTAATATTTTTTTTAGTTAGAAAGATTCTTATTTATGTTAGTAATATAAAAATATAAATTAAAAATTAAAAAATTATTTTTATATTAAGAATATATGAGAATATTATATGTTGTGTATAGGTTAGGTCTCAACTAATATGCAATATGCAATCAAATATGCAATAAAATCATTTGATTATTCTTTATCAACTTATATTTTTTAATACATACCAATGTTTTATAAATGTATTATAAAAAAATCTGTTCTATATATATATCAATTCCTTGCTACCTCATACTTTTTATTTTAAATTTTCGCAATTATACCTCGTAATTTTTTATTTAATTGAACTAGACGATTTATTTTGAATAAATCGATCAAAACATCGAATCTCTTCACTTACATACGAAGGGATTTTTTTACGTGATCAAAAAACGTGATATGATATAAAATATAAAAAAAATCTAAGATATTATTATTTTTAAACTTTCAAAAACCGATTTAATTTAATTCTTACGATTTATAGAGATTTAATGTAATTTCATTTTATTTAATTTATGTACGATCACCGATAAATTAAGATAACGTTGTGACAGAATCGTTGAAGATCAACGGCATTATTGTTGAGCTATTTTTATCTACCTGTGCACTCATGGTACAGCATGGCACTGTATATTTAGAGCATACCTGCATATTTCACTGTCGGAAATAGATCGAATTTAATTTTTTCGTAGCGAATTAAATGACGTATCGGTTTCTCGTAGCGATCGATCCTGGTTTCAGTGGCAAGCTACTTAAGAAAAAAAAAAGGATAAAATTACATCGTTTCTCATGTATTCATTTATGATTACGGAAACGAAGTCCATTTTTTTTTTTTTTTAACGTTACAAACAATTTAGTCATTCTATTTATGACACACATTTCAAAAAATTGGGATTACTTAATATAAATGAAAAAGAGATATATATACAGAGTGTTTCAGATAACTAGGCAAAGTTCATCACCTTGAAACGGTAAGAGATAAATGAAAATTTCAAGAAAAAAATTAATTAATTTTAAATAATGCATTTTTTATGTGTATTTTTTCATATACAATGTATTATACATATATAATTATTATATTATATAAAATATATAAATGTAATATATATTATAAATCTATTATACACATTATATATAAATGAATTGTTTTATTCGACACTCTTATTTTCTGTAAAAAGTATTAAATAAGTTGTATCTAAAAATAATTAATTCTTTCAAAAAATATTTTAATTAAAATTTTGCAAAGCTTTATCATATGAAAGATGTTTTATATATTTCCTTGGCTTCTATATATTAAAATTTGCAAAATTTTCAAAATAATTCATTTTTTAAATTAATAAATTTTCAATCTAAAATTATATATATATTTTTTTAATATTTTAATATTTTTTTTATAAAAAATGAAAATTGCATTGATAAGCGGACAAAAAATATATTAATTAAAAAAAAAAAATGAAAATGAATACTATGAAATCATCGAAACATGATCATTCAATTTTTATCTAATGAAATATTTTTTTATCTTTTGCTATTTCAAAACTATGATATGACTCAATTGCATGAAACAGCCTGTATATAACTCTTACTCAAAAGTCTTAAGATATTTATTGAAAAAATTAAGAAATCATATTAATTGATATAGAAAGTATAAAATGAATTACAATTAACAGAAAAAATTTTTATTTTTTTAACAAAAAAACAAATTATTGATATTAAAATTTTATTAAAAATTAATATCATAAGACTTTTGAACAAATGTATAATATATACGTATATATATATATATATATATTTACATATATTTATATATATATGTATATTATATATATATTTTTTTTATGGTGATAATTTAGAATCTTCTGTGAAACTTATTATACTTATTTAAAAGAAAAAAAGACGATATTATAAGGTACCTTGTTTTTAATAAGTGTACGAGATTTTTTTTTTTCTCTAAGCCTCCTCGTTAGCGATTTTACATGTGTATAAGCACGATCTCCTTACTTTTTTCTGTTTCAGATGACTGAACAAAATTCTCGCTGTATATGTATTATAAACATAGCGAAACATTTTTTTCTGTTTTTATTTTATTTTATTTTATTTTTTTTTTTTTTTTTTACTCACGTAAGCTTCTACTTCCATAGTTTTTAATACTCTATATAGAATACGATGATACCTATGTGTAGCGTGGCAATAAACGTGGATATTTTATCGTTCGATCCTCGATTTTGAATACATTTTGCGTAAGCGACATATGGTATTTAGGTAATGAATATAAAGAATGTTGGGGAGAGTACTAAATTATTATATTGATTATTGTATCGTACTTAATAGAAACAATTATCAAAAACATTCATGAATTTTCGTGTACATTTATTATTAAATTAATTTCACTATAGATAGTCATTGAAGAATTAAACAAAGATATGCATATAGCTATAAAATATTAAAAATAACATTAAAAATAGAGCGTTTCATTTATCTTTAAATACTCTTCAATTTATCTTTTTCAAAAAATTATTTATTATTTTTTTCGATATTTTTTTTATATATTTATTATCATGAAGAAAAAATATCATAATATTATTATAATATCTAATTTGTAAATTATAATAAGTACTTTTCAAAATGTGAAAATAATATTGATAAATAAGAAAAAAATAGAAACATGAAAAAGTTGAATAAACAAGATATCTGTAACGTTCTCATTATTAAAAAATTTGTAATTGTTATTATATAAATATTATTACAAGATATGAATATCTATTAGAACAATCAAAATTACAATAATTAAACGCAATGTTTATTTATTCGTTCTTTTTATTAAATATATATAAAAAATATATGTATAAATTACAATGTTATATGTAAAATTGAAATCATACACGGTGAGTAACATTAAGTTCCAATTCGAAGTGTTGATAGAAAAACGTTTAAATTCTATTAGTCTCCTTCTTTTTCTCGTTTCCTAAACCTCCACCATATTAACCAAAGTGACCACACAATGTTCGCAAGTTAGTCATAATAGATTAGTGCTTTCATTATTTGAGAGAGAAAAAGAGAAAGAAAGATTAACATAATATAAGAATTTTTTAAACAGGAACAATAATTTGAAAATTTTTTCTTAATTTAAATTATATTAATAATTAATGTCTTCATTTTTTTTTCATCGTGCACGTTAAATGACATATAATTGTCGATATACTAATATACTGATAACATCTTGAATATTTTGCAATTTGTCTATACCATATTTAATAACTAATAATAAATATACAGGATGATTCACAGAAAAAGATGAATCAAATTTTTTTTAAATATAACGAGATATTAAAATATCTATCTATAAATTAATGTTCTTTTTTTTCAAATCGATTATTTTTAATTTTCAAAATTAATAAAATGAAATTAAAATTTTTTTATTTTATAATTTTAAGAAATAATAATTTTGTAAATTTGATTCAAAAAATTTTATATCAACTATATTATATTTAATTATTTTGAAAATTAGAAAAAATTTTCATTAAAAAAAATTTCATTTCTTTCAAATATTTTTAAAATGTATATTTATATTTTTTAAATTTTCAATAAGATTAAAAAAAAATTATTCATTTGATCCATTTTTCTTATGAGTCGCTCTATAGATTGTAGATACGTATATACATAATGTACAAATTTATATTGCTGTTTACAAACTAATCGGTTACACAGTTCACGTTCGAATTACTTAATCGAGTTATATCATTGACTCACACGTATAAAGTTCGTTCTTGACGAATAAAGTGATACATTTTTTTCTTCGTTTGTCTTATTTTTAGTGAAGTATAGTATGGAACTAATAGATGATACAAACGTGAGCGAGGTACGATACGTGTGTGCCGTTTAACGCTTACAAGTTTCATAAATATTCGATTACAGGCGTAAGTATGTGCAATATGTATACATAGTATATTTCCCATTTTTGTTTATCTTTTACTTACACTAAAAAATTTAAATACGATTTTGTCAGTGAGGAAGCACGGAGAATTGCAACGTATATATATAATATGTTTATTATTAAATTGGACAGATATTGCAGTCTTGTTTATAGTGGTTTGCTATGAAACGTATACTCTCATTTTTATCTCTCTCATTTAAATGCCAAGCAAACGTTTTGTACAAATAGTGAATTCTTATTTCATACAAGTCAACAATATTTCATTCATCGATTATTTCATATACTATATGTATATATATTATGAACTGTACGTTTCGGTTATTAACAAATATTCTTTATATACAGAAATCTAATTCATTGTCACGTACTTAATTTTTCATTGCTTATATTTGTGTCAGCTTTTTCTCTTTTGCATTATGTACAATTGAAACCTAACTTATACATGTAAATGGCAGCTTTACAAGTCATGTATAAAATTCTGTACAGACACCCGTGCGTTTATTGTTTAAATAAATACGCGTAATCATTTCTTATAAATTATTAAAAATATAATAAAGTTGTTGTTAATACGAATTAATTCATTTGATAATTAGACAAGAATTATTTACAACATATTTTTAAAAAAAAATTATAAAATTTTATATCAATATTGTTCACTAAGAAATATCAAAATAATAAAACAAGAGCATAAAAAATTCTAACCTAATATCATATTTTTCCATGTATTATAAATTCAAAAACAATTCTTTCATATCTTTAATAATTTAAGAAAAAATTGCGCGTATTATACATCGTTTAATATATCATGATACTATACATATGTAAATTAAACGTGCAATCATCACGTTATCCTGAATGGATTATTTGTAACTTGTATTATCCTAATATATTAATATGTATATATAAATACTTATTGCCGCAAGTTTAAACGGCAATGAATAATTAAAGAAACAGTGTTCGAATTTATACTCGAACAATTATACGCTTTTCATTATACAATAACAATGTTGCTTTGTGAAAAAGTACATGAATTTATAATACTAATACGCACATCTGTGACAATGTACATATGTTAAATAGTATGTACTTTGTAAGACACAATATAGTATAAGATTAGGAATGATTACCTTGATAAATACACGAGAATATTAATTTAGGAATGTATGGTATATAAGTAATAAACTTAAATAATTTTTATATAATATGATATATAAAAAATCTTTTAGAATTAGTTTCATTTTTTCTTCTTCAATAATTTTTTTTTCTTATTTTTTATATTTTATTTTTTTTTTTTTTAAGTTCTTAATTCGTTATTTTAATAAAATACAAATATTAGTGTTACAAATGCATCCATTCAGTACAATCTATAAAAGTAAGAATCTAATCTAAAAGTCTGAAAGTTGACACTCTAGTACATGTACCAAGGATTTTTTTCACTCTGCTTTCGTAATTAATGGAATCGCCGATACCCATCGTGCATCTGTATAGAAAAACACTGGCACTTTAAAAGCATCAATGATATTGACAAGTTCTGCAAATATTATTAATACTTGTCTATTTAAATTGATTTGTTCATCTCATATTAGTATTTACTACAAGTAGAGAACTATACATGGCATCAGAAACTTCATCAATAAACAGAGCAGATTTAAAACTTTTATAATGATTGATTTTAAATTATTCTCTAATTTTTCTTAAATTCATCATGAAGAAAATATTACAAATTTAAAAGAAAAAATTTTCTTACAAAAGATAAAAAAATTACTATATCTTGATAAAAATATAATATAATAATTATATATATATAATAAAATGAAATTATAAATCTTAAAATAATAGTACTATATGTCACAGATGTTTACATTTATAAGCATTTAATATCGAATAAGAAAAAATTGAAAAAAAATTTTGAATTATATTTTTGTTAATATAAAAATGATAAATTAAGAAAATAATATTTTTTCATGCTCTGAAAAAGTTTAACTTTTTATAAATTACCTATATATCTACAGTGTTCTTATATGTCATTCATCCCATAAACAATTCTGCTTCATCTTAGAATAATATGAGAATATAAAACATTTTTTACATGTTTTAATGCCACATTTATATGGAGTAGCTGCTTTTTTACCATCACTTTTGCCTTTGCAAAATTTTAAACCACATGGATACCATCCAATACATAACTCTAATGAACATGTACAAGGTGCCCACATATTTGATGTATCTGCACATCTTGTTACAAATAAAGATCTTGAATCATTTGTACCTTGTTGTGTCAAAGAATTTGTGCTGAAGTTATATACAGCTGCCATCAATGAAAGTTCAGATGAACCTAATGAATTAAAAAATAAAAAATCTGATAAATTAAATTTAAATCTTATCTTATTTTAAAGATCTTCATTTATGCGTCAATAAAACTTACCAGGTCTTTGAATCCATTGTTTTATATCTTCATTTCTAGTATAAGCAGATCCAGCTGCTTCTCCACAAAGAGTTGCAATGTGCTTAGAGATATCTTTAGATTCAGATACATCTAAGAATAAGTCCATAGTATAATTTACATGACCTTTATCTTCTTCTGCAACACGTACAGTGCCTGGATTTTTTTGCCTTAGTTTAGACATTGCATCAGAAGATATGAAATCCACTTTAAAAAAATGATTAACAAAACACAAAACTTGATACTGATTCTGACCACGTTCTTCTTCACCCAAAACTAAGGCTTTTATTATTTGCACTTCCTAAAGAAACATGTTTTATTTTTATTTATATATATATATATATGATATATGATGAGAAATTATAGAATTTCAAAATAATGAATTACATTTTTGAAATCAATAAGTTGTGTTACCAATGTGCCATCTGAACATTGAAATTCTAGGGTAATAACATCTTCAGTAACATTGGAAGAAATCGTTTCTAACAAAATATCACCACCCTGTAAAGTAGCAATATATAAATAATGTATAGCATTTAAATTCTTATTCATCTTTAAATTTTATTTTATTAAACTTTAATTGCAATTAAATTATCGAAATGAATTTTTAATTGATAAATTATATCACAAATTTTCATTATATAGTACTTGTAATTTAGCAATTGTAATTTATTTTGATTTTTCATTATAATAAGTGCTAAATAAAAATTCATACCTGATTTTTGACATTTATGAGCAAATGAGTTATACAAACGCTATAGAAATAATGCAACAAGAAACAAATCGTGAATAATTCGTTGAATTTCTTCATTGTCGCATGTTATAATTACATCTATCACAATACTAAACACTATTGCAACTAATTATAATGTATCATCATTTATTTGAAAGATAGATACTTTAAATATAACCTAATCGTAACAATTTCCTACTTCATACATTTTGTAAAGCATACATTCACAACTATATTGTCATTGAGTAAAAACTAGATAGAAGGGCATATAAATTATATAAAGTATATTTTAAAATAATTAATTAATAATAATAATAAGCTTAGAAGTTTTGTTTATTACTTGTTTCAAAAATTAAATTAAAGAAAATAATATTGGAATAAATCTAAAATCAAAACTACAATATCAAAAGTTTATAAATTTTTTATTTTTATAGTTAAAAATTAAATTTTATAAAGATCATAGCAGAAAATTTATATTATAATAGAAGTAAAAATTATATCCTTAAAACTATATATTAACAAAATAATTGCTTAGATTTTATTTCAATTTCAAATTTTTTTCACTTTGCCGCGGTTTCCAACCAGTTTGATTTATTCTTTCGGTTGATTGACTATCATCTCTAAAATTTTATAAAATATTTCCTTTACATTTAATTAATTAGAATATTTTATTATTAAAGATTTGATTGCATTTACTTACTGACATCTTAATCGTAATTCAGATAAAATAGATGGAGTTGGAGGCTTTTCGATAGGTTTTAAGTCATACGTTTTTAAATGAATATAAACGGGAATCTGGAAACATAAATTTCTTATAAATATATCATAAAAGTTATCATAATATATCAAAATATATTATTTTTAAAATTTTAATAATAAATTAATACAGTTATAAATCAAATCAACAGTTATAAATCAATAATCAAAGAAAAAAAATAAAATTAAACATGTAAAAAAGCAAAGTTTTTAATTATTTAATATTAATTATTTTTTATAATGTAAAGTTATAAACAATAAAAAGTCATTATTAGCAGTAATAATTTTTTTCTTTTCATTGCATGTGACACAATCATAAATATATAGTATAAACGTATATAAATAGTAGAAAAAGAATAGAAATAGAAAAGATAAAAATTGAGAATTTAATGCTCTCAGAGTAAATTAAATATTAATCTAGAAAAAATATTAAGAAGAAATAAAAAGAAGAAATATGATAAAAATTAACTGTCATTTCTTGCTCTACTTTACCATCCCTTTTTGAGGATTGTCTTTAATACTCAAGAGATGACGCTAATAATCAATTGTTATTCTAACTCTGTCCTTTTTTCAATATTCATTTTCTTTGTTTACTTTTGTATTTAATTTGCAGCACTCTAGAGATGGCGCTGATTCCTCAAATTTTATCCTATCTCTATCTTTTTTCATTATTTACTCTCTTTATTTATAGTTCTTGGCGCATAACTTGGCGCAGACAATATCAATTGAATATAATTTCATCATTTTTTTCAAAAACTATACAATGTGTTTTAATTTAATTTAAAAATATAGATATTCTTGACTTTGTAATATATCTTTAAGATGACGATTTTCAAAATATATATTTTAATACAAAAATTAAATATATAATTTATATTTAATTTATATAATTTATCGTAAGTATAATATAAATATTCTATCATTTATGAAACATTTAAAAAAATCTTCTTTACTAACAATAAATAGACAAATTTTACGAATTTATAAAAGTAGGAATATACAGAATAAAAAAAGAAAATATAACAATATGAGAAATTTCTTGAATGCTCGTCCTTCCCAATAATGATAAATAGGAAAAAAAATGAAATCCTAAAATATAAAATTTATTCTGTATTTTATCTGTTTATTTAGAATAGGATAGAGATACTTACATATGGTAGCAATGTATCAAGGATTATCGGTTCAATATATTTCTTTGATATATCCGGAATTTGATAAGAACTATTCAATATCGATAAATCTGAGCCGTTTTCAAAAGTCAATTTAGGCGATATCTCCTTTCGATCATCACATAAATTTGACTCATTTAGATCGTTTAACAATGAGTCGTCGTTTTGCTTGATATTCACCGAATTTTTCATCTCGATAAAGTAGTCTTTTGCTAGCAGAGACTGCTAAAGTTTTAAGATGCAACCAGGCCGAACTACTTTCGCGGAAATAAAGCCGAAGACCCACTCCAACTTGAGCGCTGGCCTCTAGATAATAATTCGAGGATGCTCTTCACCGTTATGCCCGGCGAAGTGTTCACAAACTGAAGTCCCGTGAGCCGATATTTGGTCGATAAGTTTCATTTCGTTGAGCAATGGACACCATGGAATTGCTCTTTTTAAACGCGATTCTTCATTTTTTTATGTCATATTTTTCAGAATTAAAAATATTTATATATTTATAATATTTAAATATTTATATATTATATTAAAATTATAGAAGGAATTATATTATATTATAAATATTATATTATATTTCAATTTTCACTTCTTATTTTTCTTTATTTTTTTTTAATGATTAAGTCTTTAAGTATCGTGAAATTAATTAAATTGCATTCTGAAAATTTATACTATCATTAAAAATTCATATATCGTTTTTAATTATATTTTTTATGTTTTCCTATTTTTTTCATAGAAAATATTGAATAGCCTTAGTTTTAATATTTATTTGATTGGTGAATAAAATAATAATAAAAAATGAAAAAAAAGAAAAAAAACTAAACTAAAAATTTCTATCGCATTTTTGCAATTTTGAGTCAGAAAGAATGAAAAATGAAAAAAATAAATAAAAATGACATCATGCTTTTATAATTGCAAAGTATAAAAAGCGAAGACAAAAGGAAAAGATGAATGATTTTTCATACTATGATTCTATGAAATAGACAATGAAGATTAAAGGGATTAAATAGTATATTACAATTTTAAAGATAATCCAATATTCATTTTAGTATTCTCATATTTATAAAAAATAAGATAAATTAGAAAAAGATTATAAATTAAATTAAATTAAATTAAATTAAATAAATTATAATTAAGAAGAAGAATTAAAAATTAGATGAAATTAATTAAAAATTATAGATTAATTGGAAATTAAGATATTATTAATTTTATTACAATCTTATTATTAATTTTTGAATGATTTAAAGAATAGAATAATTTAAAGATTTATTGATCAAATTTAAATTTTAATAAAATTCTATTCCATAGAAAATAATTTTTTTCACTATTACTAATAATTAATTAAATTATAAATATAATCTTTTGTATTATCATATTATATCTATTATTATACATACAGAAACATTTTCTTTTTTGTTCGAAGTGGATAAAAATTTTTATGAACACAAACGTTTTTAAGGCTTAAATAAGGTTACAAGTTTGTTGCCTATGAATGAGCTTAATTTATGAATCGATTTTCCTTTACTACTTATCATGTAACATTAAGAATATTCTATTTTATAAATACTTTTTTAAAGAAAATTTAAATTCACTAAAAAAAAAACCAAAGATTTAAAAAATTTTTTTGACATTATTAATATTATCAATTTTAAAAGTATATTTTCCTATTATTAAATTCTAAAGAATGCTTTCTAAATTTTCCATTTTCAATTTTATTCGTGTACCTCTTTAATCCATTGAAATTTAAACCATCTACCCCCGAGATTCAATTATCGCCATTTTCTGTATCATCTCTATTCGCATCTCTCAGCAATAGTAGCCCAAAGAAGCAATTCTATACAATTGTTAGCAATTCTTTACAACAAGATCAATCGAAATGAAATGTAATACAATAATCCAAATAACAAAATTTAGAATTTCTCTGAATAATTTTTCCATCGCGATTCTATTAAAAAAATCTAATCTAAAATCTCCTAAAAAATCATGGTAATATTAATTTTTATTTTTATTTTATTTAGATAGTAAAAATATTTTATATCTTAAAAATAAAAATATTCTTAAAAACTATCTTTTTTTTTTAACTTACTCCAAAATGTCTTCTATTTTTTTTTTTTTTTTTTATTTAAAAAATTTAATCAAAAATATATTTGATATATTTTCATTAATTTTATATTTTTTTTTTGTATTTCTTGTAACCAAATATTCATGCAATATTATCATCCAATATAATATCCACTTAATACAATATTAATAGTGATAAATTATGTATTAAAAATTGAGTAAAAGTCTACTTCCAACTATCATAAAACTATACGATTATCCAATTATAAAATGTATAACAAAAAATAAATAAACATTACATATAAACATTAAACAATTAAAAATCAGAAAACCAAATATATATACTTAGCCAACTCAGTTATCTATCCAATTTTATTGCACGAAAAATATTTAACAAAACTATCCTACTATTCAGTTTCAAAATTAGAGAAAGTATTTCCTCCTCCTTTTTTTAAAAAAAAAAATACAAAAAATTCTATCGAGCAACGTTTAACGTGCTCGTCTTCCACGATGAAAATGTTATTCTGCACCCTAAAAACATCTTTTTCACCGTGGTTGTCTATGGCGCGCGCATCCGTCCGAGGGGGGTGGAGAAGGCGCAAGAGCATCGGCTCCGTCGAAACGGCGGAAAACGTAACGTGTTTTATCGATTTGGGTCGGGGGGGTCGGCCATGTTCGTATCCGCCACCGGTCAGGCGCACTCGTGTCCCAACGTCGAGAGACCGTGCCACCGATAGATTTTCCACCGTCTACATCGTCGTCGATGTCGCAGGGCGTATAAAACGATGATGCGCTTGTAAAACGCGAGACCCCGTGTTTTTCACTCGCTCTTTTCTCATTGCCATACAACGCCAGAATACGTTCGCTAATTGTTTCCACGGATCCGGCCCGCGTCGAAATCTTCGAGCGACACAGAGGACAGAGGATAGGAGGAACCTCGAGACACCTCGTTTCGGAGTAGTGGAGTCAACCGAGAACGAGCATCGTGAGTATCGTTCGATTTTTCTAATTTTCTTTCCTTCCAAATTATCATTTTATTTTTTAGTTTTTGATTTATTTGAAGATTATTGGAATTATCATTATTGAGTTTATTAGGTTTGGGGGAGAGAAAGAGAGAGAAAGAGAGAGAGATTCTTGTTTGGTTCTCCCTTTTGGGTCGCGAAGTGGCAAGGAATTTCGATTCAAGGAAAGTTATACGGTTTCCTAAGTTCTCATAAGAGGATGTTGTTTTTATGATGCGAACGAAAGTGGTTACCGTTTTTTCTGTGATGGTTCTTGGTTTGGTAAATAAATTTTGAGAGTATCGATAGGATTTGAAGGTTTGAGATAATTCTTTGAAGAATAGTGATTTGAATTGAGATTAATGAATAATATATTGAAAAAAATTCAAATTATAATTGAATTTATTAATAAAAGATGTTGTTGGATATTAGAAATAAGATTTATTGAGAATTACATTTAAAAATTAATTGATTTTGTCTATATTTTTTTTTATTTATTATATATTTCGCACTAGTATAATATTGTATATATAATATAGTGAATTAATATAGTGAATACTATTATTAGAAAAAAAAATTTATTTTGAAAAGATTATATTCATATAACTGATGATTTTAAATTTTGTATATAATAAATATTCTCTAAATATAATACTGCTTCAATTGATAATCATAATTGATAATTTATAATGGCTTTAAAAAATATTTATATATTATTATAGTTCAAATATAAAATATAAAAAATATAAAATATATAAAATATAAAAAAATGGCTTGATTTTTTGAAAACATTTTTTAGTAAAAATAATTTTTATAGTTACTATATATAGAATGTATTTACATACATATATAATAAATAGCGTCAGTATCAATTGTCTCTCATGTATAATCAATATTTCGCATTTTCTTATCAAATATTTTTTTATCTAAATAACCCATAAACTTCTCTATTTTTTTATAATAAATTTGAGATGAGAATATAAGGAAGCAGAATTTCGTTTGAAGAAATAAAATCTATATCCTCGATCATGCAATCCAATTAGATTCATTTAATTTTGGAATTATTTTCATGAAAGATCGTTTATGACAGTTGTTTCTGTAAATGTGTAAAAATTTCTGCTAGTTTTATTTCTGACTTCTCTATTTTCACGCGCTCATGAATTTTCCTAGTTCTTCTCAATCTTTTAAAATTATCCTCTATCTCTTTTTCTCTTTCATGTCTAATAATTTTTATATATGTACAGAAAGAATCAAAAATATGAGTATCACTTTAAAGAAATGGAATTTATATAATAAAATTATATAGAATTCAAAATATATACTTTAAATAAAATAATATTTAATAATAATGTACGTAAACAATATTAAATATAATATATTAAAAACATATATTTTTCATTATTTTTATACATAATTTGTATTTTTTTAATTAATATGTATAACATAAATGTAAAATGTAATAAATAAATTTATTATATATTTATGTTTGGTTTTCACTATTTATTCACTATATATCAATAAAAAATTTAAAATTATATTTTTTTTCTTTTTATATTATATCAAACATATGATTGACAACATTTTTTAATTAATTAAATATTTTTTAAAATAACCTAACTTTCTTTTAATTTCGTAAATTCCATAGAATCTACATTAATGATTTTAAATTTTTAAATAAGGTAAGTAATTGATCAATAAATAAATAATATTTTTGTATAGCTTGATTTTCAATATTAAATAACTATCATTTCTATGAGTACTCACTTTTAACTATCGTTATATATCGATTGTGCGCGAGCTCTGTCGATCGTTCGATAATTGTATTCCTCCGATTCATTGCTTCGTTCAAGTCATTCTACTTTTCCTCTTTCATAGTCGTTTTTCATCATGGTATTGAGATTCTCGACTGCACACACTCGAAACCATCCACCAGTGAAAACGTGGGCGAGTTTCTTCCGAGTTCTGATCGATTCCCGGCGTGAAATTTTCTCTGCTTCTAATTTTCTCAAGTGTTTCCGAGTGTATCGCGACTCGATTATAGGGACCGATCCTTACGCGTAAAACGACCAGTGAATAAAGAGACATCAATGGAATTAACTATTTCTGCCTTTCTGACTATTTTTTGATTATATTTTATAGTTTTTGTTGTCATAATTCTGACACATTTTACGATTTTAAATGTTTGCGAAATGATTAGTGATTTCTATTGAATAGTTATTGTGAATTGTGAATAGGTATCATTTGATTTTTATAACAAGCTGTTCGATTAGTATTGTTTTTTTATTCTGAAATTTTGTTATTTGAAGAGGAATTGAGATTTTTGAGTTTAACAGTTGGCTAACTTTGCGACGATGAATATTTTTGAGATGAGAGTGGAAATTAAATTATGAATGTGTGTCAATGTATTTTTTTTTTTATTTATGAGAACTTTTAAGAAAAGTTTAATATTGTTTCTTTATTTTGATATTTTGTCGTTAAGATTAAAAGATTAAAAGATTGACATAATATATTTATGTTGTTAAAATTGTTGTTAAAGATAGAATTAAATGTGTTTGTATTCGGATTACAATGCTTCTACATTTTCTATTGTTTCTTCATTCTTATATCTTATTATTTATAAAATTAAAATTGAGATTTCTAGATTTGTTAGTTTATTAGGGAATTCATGAGAGTTTTAATATAGATTAAATATACTTTAAATAGGTTAGAATCCGATTTGAATATTTTACATAAATTATTTTGTTTCATAAATATTAAAAAATATATATATGTAATATTCGTCCTCCGTAAATAAACTCATATAAAATAGGTTCAAACTCTATCTTAAATCCCATGAAGTGAAACTTTTATATTGAAATTTACTTGGATTCAAAGCACATATTGAAATTGATCTCTAGTCGACACCCATTTTGGCGTTATTGAATGGTGATCGATGGGTGGAATGGTGATCAGCTAGATTTTTCAGAACTATTCTCAAAATGATTTAGTTACTTTTATTACAATATTTTTTTCTATCAAAATTTTAATATGTGAGGTTTTTATAAACTATTAAATACAATAATATGTGAGGTTTTTATAAACTATTAAATACTAAAATTATTATTATAAACTATTAAAAACTATATAAATATTAAATAAAATATTAAATACATACATATAAATAATATTATATAATACATATAAATAAAATTATTAAATATATTTAAAATAGAAATAAACAAATATTGTTAATATTACAAAATAAAGATTTTATTATACTTTATTGTATCTCACTTATTTCTTATTAATTTTTTATTCCATTGAATTTTTTTATATGTAGGCCAAAAAAATCTATGTAAATATTTGTAAAAAAAATATATTTATAGTGCTTTATTGTTTAAAAGGATATTATGCAAAAGTTTTCATATTTTCCTATACGTATATACTGGTTTCCGACTCTATTGAATATTGATCGGCATTTTCAATTTTTGTTTACCAGCTCTTTGTTATTTAATTTCAATTTTAGCTACAGTTCGTTCATGTTTTATTATTATATTTTCTATAAAATATGTATCTATATTCAAATAATATTTTATTCAAATTTATTATTTATCCTTTATTTTCCATATTTAATATTTTAACATTATAATATGTAAAGTACAAATTAATCGGAATTAAAACGATAGAATTATTTTATCTCATTTATTTTATATTTAATACAATTGAAAATATATTAAATTTTAATTAAATTTATATAAAATTTAATCATTTTTGTTAAGTACAAATAATTATCCTGTATTTTATAAGTAAATTATTAACTTGTTGGATTATCAAACAATTTCAACAATCACAAAGGAAAATTCATTCACTTAACTAGTTAATGAAGTTAATGAAGTTAAAAATTTTCAACAATTGAAAAAAAGAAGAGAAAAATAAGAAAATTGTTTTTTGTAGAAAAATAAATTGTTCTCCATACAAAATTTTGTAATGACTATATAATGATTAGATATTATATCATTATTTCAAATGAAAAAATGTTATTTCATTCAAAAAAAAATTCATTAAAAAAATAAATCTTAATTATTAAATATCTTTTTAATAGAGAAATGAATCAGAGTGATAGATAATTGAACAGTGATTACGATGAAAACATTCTTTGTAAGGATTTAGGCTAAATGAGTGTTATTTTAAAGGATTAAAGACTATATTGAAGTGAATTAGTTATTATAACGAGATATAGTGCGTTAAATGTAATTAATGTGTCATCCTTCTCAACATTGTTGGAATATTGATAACGATATTGAAATTATAAATGAGATATATCGTTTCGCATGAAATAATTAAGAAATCGTTGGAATATATTTTTCTGTGATTCAAGAGGAAAAAATCTGATTAATTATAAGCTTATTATTTATTTCAAATGATAAACGAATGATTTATGTGATCCACTTCTTTTTATTTATATGTAATTATTACTATTAAATATTATATATGATTGCATTGATAATTATTTGTATTTTTTTTTATATATATAATTTTTATATTTTATATTTAAATTAAATGAAGTTAAATTAAAATTCTGTTATTTAAGAAAAATTTTTTTAAAAAATCTATTGAAGTAAGATGAAATTATTATTAATATCCATTCAATTTTATTAAGTTTCAGAACACATATTTTGAAATTAACATATTAGTTCATGTGAATGTTATACTGCATGTAAAAACTAACGCAGATAGAAATTGTAGTAATTGTATAAAAAAATTTATTGAAATGCTACATTTCTTATAGAAATAAAACAATACGATAATAAAACTCGTTGATCATGTTAGATTAAACTATATGAGAAGATATATCAAAGAAACACGCGAAAAAAAGTGCTTTACTAGGTTAGAATGGAAATATAGAAATATTGGAACGTTATAGACGATGAAACTGAGGAATTGCGGTTAATATTATTGGACCAGTATCTATAAGTACACAGTTTTATCGATTCGTGCTTCAACCATTCTATTACATATACAAATGCAGACTATATCATATACGAAATCAAAATACTATACAATAAATCACGAAGATAGAGATTATACAATCTATCATATCTTATTTAATTAGGATCATATATGAAAATTTCACTTTTAAATATAGCATTATTTTATTTAAGAATAATTATTTTTTTTAGGAAAAAAATATTAATTTGATTAAAATTTAATTAAAATTTAAATTAAATTAGTAAAATTTAAAATTTTCTAAAAATATATCACAGATGTATTAAATTACTAAAATTAAATTTTTTTATATTTAAGAATTTAATTTTTTCTCAAAGACTAGCTGATATTGATTATTAATTAAGTTAAAATTAATTAAACAATTAAAAATAAATTAAATTTAGGTTAAGTTATATATTACAGAATGCATATATAAAATACATTATTTTATTAAATTATTCTATTAAAAATGAAAAATTTTGTTTTTCCTCAAAAAAATGCGTTACTTTAGGAAATGCATGTAAGAAAAAAAACAATTGAAAAGAGAAGAACGTAAATCGTACAGTGTCAAAACTTGAACTCGGAAGCCTTACGGCTTGTCTTCAATTATAAGTATAATAACACGAGACTTTTAGCTACATTTCATATAGTGAGAAGAACAATTTACAGAAAAGACGAGAAAATATAAGCGATTTTCTTGATTAAAGAACGCTTCGTTTGATACAGTTTTCCTCATTCTTTATATTCACTTCCATAAAATATTGGAGTTTTTTATAGCTAGATTGAAATGACTAATTTATCTTGATAACCTGGAAATTCTGAACTCTTTTCTCTTGAACGTAAAACAAAAAATATACAGAAAATTTAAAAATTAATATTTGTGTAAAAAATATGCTTTGCTTTTCTTTTCTTTTTTTATTTTTCTTTATATTTTAATGTGTAATTTTTATTATTTTTTGTTCTTAAACTTTAGAAGTTTCTGATTATAAAAAATATATTTTTATATTTCCAATGCATATAATTACATTGTATTATGTTAATATATCGGAAATCTATAAACTTTAATTTATAAAAATTAATATTAAATTCCATAACATTGTACATGTATTGCATTTATGAAACCGCATTTATTTTTATGAAACCGCATAAATAATTATATTGTTTTTTTATAACTAAAATAATTAATGAATTATAATGAAAAATTAAATAATCATGACTTGGCTATTCAAATCTTAAAGTTTCATTATTATATATAAACAAATATATTATATATTAAATAATATTAAATATTATTACTGTAATATATTAACAATAAAAATTTCTTAAAATTCACTAGATTCTTTATCAAATTACTATATAGTAGAAAAAACAATTTAGTGATTTCCTAAAGTGATTTTTTATCCTCTTCGAAGTTCATTTACAGCTGTTAAACATGAATGATAAAAAGTCGACAAAGCTCGTAAATCTTAGTCGAGTTATGAAACTACTGCGAACAAATTTGAAGCGTAGTAGTTAAATCCTATTGAGAGATATCTCTATTGATTTTTTACACACTTGATTCATATACATAAGGTATTTCATTGGAAAATAGATAGTATAAATAATTGGAAGTAATTCTATGTGAAAAAATAAATCGAAAAGAAGGAATTAAAATTTTTGAAGCTAAATTTTTAATGAAATAAAATTGAAAAATTTATAATTAGATCACTATAGCTATTATAATGATGATTATTATTTCAAATTTAATTTTCTTGTAAAGATCTCAAAAAATTTTACTCTTCGACTTTTTGCATGTAGCACAAATGTATAACAATAATTTTGTTTTTTTTTCTTTTACTATTTATTTTGAAACTTTCTAAGGTGACACAGAAGATGTGAAATAACACGAAGAATACGCATTATAATTTCTCACACAATCTTCTTTCTCTATACCATTTCATGAATTTATTTCAAATTTATAAGTCAAACATAATTAGCAGGGTTCATGAATTGCGAACACGTTTAGATCCAACTATATTTGCTCTGTTCGTTGCACAAAGATCCTGTTAGAAGCTGTGCCCGGTGTTAAATTGTATGTTTTCTCGCTTCTCTTCTTTATGTTGCGAGTATTTTAATGAATAGAAAGTAGTGTTGGGATAACTAATAAACTAATAATTGCCACGATAAATGTTCAAACAACTTTCGATAGGAAACCTGGAACAAAATGAACTATTTAAGAATTGAAAATAAAGAAAGATAAAAAATAAATAAAAAAAATATTTTTGTCAGGTTACTATATTACATTATCTTTGTCACTTTAAAAAATTAATTCAAATTTAATTTTAAAATTAATAAGAGTATATAAGAGTAATATAATATTATAACTCTTATATAAAGAGTAATAATAGTAGATCACAATTAAGAAGTTTACACGCATATACAATGATTAAACAAATTATTATATTAGGAAATCAATGCAATTCTTTCGCAACTTTAGATACGATCGTGGCAAGAAACTATCATTACAACTAAGTGGTTTGCCGATCCCCAGAGGGTTGAGCGTGAAACCCTGGAAACATGACACCTTTTCATACCCACGCATCTGTAAAGCGACGCAGTAGCCAGGAGGGTAGAAGCTTCATCGTCATTAAAATTCGTAACGCATTTCCGAAGCAAATCGTCACTGTATTTCTCTCTGTGTAAATTGTACAGATATAGATGAAACAAAACATAATTCTTATATTTTCATTATCAACTTCATTGTACAAACCTGTTCTTATTTCAACAAAATGACTTCTGAGTTTTAGAAATAGCTGAAAATTATTAATATAGAAACTTATAAATTGGATTAAACTTGTCTTGCATCATTTTGAGCAATTTTTTCTTTTACGCATTTAATTTAGATTTCAAGTCACTTATAAAGAAACCTTTAATAATATAATTATAAATTTTTCTTATACTTAATTAGAATTTTTCATATCTGAATAAAATATAGATTATCTTGTATGATAGTATCACTTTGATTTACGTCGTTATTTTTCTCCAAAAAAATGTTTCAGAAGTTGAATTGTTTCAACATATTTCTCGATTCTCTAGAATTAAATAAAATGTCAAAAAATGATTAATTTCTGGCAATATAGCAAAATAAAGATAAGTATATCAAAAAGGTGAGTATATATAAAACAAATAAATAAATTAAATTCTATGCCATTTCTTTTAGGATTATATGATACAAAATCAAAAATATAAATAAAAATTTTTATCTTTGTCTTGAAATTCTTGAAAAAATTTCGCGTGCCACCTCTTATTGAATTATATTCTTCTAATACAAAATTATAAAATTTGATAAAAATTTTTGTTATCAAAAATTCGATATCAGGAGAATATAAGTTGATAAGAGATGTCGCGAGAAATTTCTAAGGCCACAAATTTTTGCTGAAATTTCGATTTTGTATTAGTCGAATATAATTGAACAAGAGGTGGCATACAAAATTTTTCAAAAATTTCTAAATCTAAAAATTTTGCCGAAACTTCAATTTTATAATGGAAAAATATAATTCGACAATGGTACGCGAAATTTTTATAGTATTTCTAAAAGTAAAAATTTTTATGAAATTCTATATTTTTATTAATTTTATATAAATACTTACTATTTGCAGCTGTTATTTTTTGTTTTAAATCATTATTTTCAATAGTTTTCTTAATTTTAAGAATTTCTTTTATATACTTATCTTCTCTAATAAAATCTGCTTTCTTTAAAGAAATAATTTTTCGACAAATTTATATCGTTTTATATATTCGTTGTTGGCTATCCTAATCTGTTTATGGAAATAATTGATAAGCAATAGTTATATATTGATGTATACGCTATCACAGATATAGACAAAATTCATGGCATAACATCAAAATTTTATTCGAATAATTCGAAAACTAACTGATTAATGATTGTGTATAAAAAATTACTAAAAATAATGTTTTTAACAACATGTATATTTCAAATTCAATAAGAAAAAGCTAATCAGTTGATTAGAAATTGTTATAAAACATTGAGTTTTATATTTTTGATAATTATACCACATTAATTTTATCTTTGTTACTGTAATATTGTTATTGAAATTAATGTGCAAAGTTATTTTTCATACTTATTAATTTCTTCTGATGACTTTTATTCAGCTATTTTTACAATTTTGCAATATTTAGCCACTTTATTTTCTCTTTGTTAACAGGATTAAATTGAATTAAATTATAATGAAGGAGATATTCTCTCACTAAATTACAGAAATTGAGTGAAAGCGGAACTTGGGCAAAAATTGCATTACCTGGAAAGATTTATTGCAATTTTCTGTAATAAGTAATGTACATAAATATATATATTTCTGTAATAAGTAATATATATATATATATACATACATATAATTAAAAAGGAAGAAAGGAATAAATGAAAATGAAAGAAAACTAACCTAAAATTGTTAAATTTTATAAGTCAATCTCGAGTGTTTTTAAAAATTTTCCATTATTATTCGAACATTTTCTTGTTTATTAATTAAAATAACGAAACTTTTGCTATATTCTACTAATATTTTATTCAAATAAAACGCTACCTTTTGCTTATTTTAAACTATGCTAATTTACAATGTAAATCATTGTTTGTACAATGCAAACAGTTATATAAATTGACGAATTGTAGCAATTGATTACTCTTATTATTTTGTTATATATGATGATCTTTTCAATGATTTTTATGAGTTATAATAAGACCGAAGATACGATTACCGTCAAACTAATTTATGTTCATTAAAGAACATGTTTAAGTCATTGCAACGCCCACGTTATATCCTTATTTTCCATGGTGCCAAGTTAGTTATCGATTTTGCATATTCAAGTGTATATTAAGTTATTTCGCCTCACATATGACAAACAATATCACCGTTCTATTCTTATTTCATTTTATTAATTATTTCTATGTAGAGTTATGTATCATTTTATTAATTATTTCTATGTAGAGTTATATATTTTCAAAATATATTTAATAATAATTAAATAACAAATAATTATAAGAGTAACAAATCCGAGTAAAGTTAAAAATAAATTAAAAAATAAAAATAAATTCCAAAATTGTATTCGATAAATTATTTCTAAATAATTTATTTTTTTGTAATAGATAAAAAAAAGTGATGAAATTAGAAAATTTAAAAGTAAAATTAAAAAATGTTTAAATAATTGAAGTTCAATGCAAATCGAATAATATAACGATTAACTCTATGTTTTTATTTGTCTTCTTATATTTATTTTACAATTTTAGGTTATATTTTCACTTAATTTTTATTTATTCCTTAAAGAGCTAATATTAAATAATTAAATATATTATTAAGCACTGTAGCACATATTATTACCTGGTATTAAATAATTGGATATTTTTCGAATACACTTTGTTGTTATTCTCAATTTAAATCAAAATCTTACAGAAATATTTCATAAAACACAAAACAAAATCCTCTGTAATTAAGAAATTCACTTTTTTCACAACTATATCATAATAAAAAATTTTTGTCACAATTTTTTGAATCTTTGTTCTACACTATATTAGCTTTCATAATTAACTTAATTAAAAAGAAACAACAGCATGTATTTTGGCGAACATATTTCCATGATGTTTCAAAGTATTCTAACCTCTCTCAAAAGGATAGCTTCGCCGGATTATCCTTGAAACGTGAAACAATGAGATAAAATTAAATGAGAAAGAAAAGATAAAAAGGAGAAGAAAAAATAACATAGCAACATCCATCGGATCCTTTGTTTCCAAGAATGACCATTGCCGAGTTGTGGAGAACTATTGCGTGCGTGGGTGACGCGTGTCTGACGTCAATTTATCGTCGCCGCGACGATAACGATTATTTTGTCAGACTGCGAATAATAGTCATACCTCTGTTATCGTCTTATCGAATTTTATTGGAGGCCAATGTCGGAATTACGAGACAGCAAAATGAAAAATTTTTAATTCTATAATATTGATAATACAAATGTTTCATCTGATTTTTCATCCCAAAGATTTTTGCCGCGAATTTTTTCATATTTACCGCCATATTAGTTATCCTTTTCACGATTTATACGAAGGAGAAAAAAAAATTTCCCAACTGAAAATTTTTCACCATGATAAATGTTCACTGTTTGGTGAAAATTTTTTATTTCTCTGCAAAAAATATCTTCTTTTTTGTTTAAATTTAAATATATATTTAGATAAATATAAAGATATTGAAATATATTAGAAAATAGAACTAAAAAATAGAACTTTTAATAACAAATTTTTTTTAATAGAACGGAACTATTTGATATCTATTTTTCAATACAATATCGAAAATATATAATCGTTAGAAATATAGAATAAAAAGAACTATAAAAAAAAATATTAGATTATTATAAAAAAATACTAGATTACATATAAAAAAAATACTAGATATTAACATACTAATAAATATTATAGTAATAATATTATAACATACTAATAAATATTATTATATATATATTATATATTACTAATAAATATATATATAATAAATACTAAATAAAAATAAAAATAAAATAAAATATTAAATAAAAATTTAAAATTAAAAATAAATAGAAACAAAATAAAAATAAATAAAATAAATAAAAATTAAATAAAAATCGAAAATATTCCAAAAATCTAATTGATCTGAATTTTATAATCTTTTTTTTTCAACAAGATAACAAAAAGTAACTGACATCTAACTTCGAATAAAAAAATTACTAAATCGAATAGTAAAATCTTATTGATATCAATGATGAGCTTTATTGAATTTTTCACTTTTTTCGGACTTTTATATTATGTGGCATTTAAAATGTGATTCAATTTTCAATTATTACATGCGATAACATTTCCTATATCATCGTGAACATTGACGTAACCGATAATCGAGATTTACAGATTGTATAATATTTATCTAATTTTTATTTACCTAATATTATTAGATTGTTTAATGATTCTAATTGGATTTTAAAAGAAAGTTTCAGTTTTTGAAATATAAAAATACGAAGAAATGAAATGCTTGTGACTTTTAACCACCTTATTGAAGTAGATGGAGTGAAAATAAGTTTTGTGAATATAATTTAGCTTTGCTTAAAATGTTGTTGAATCCTTTGATAAATCTATGAAATGTTAGAGAAATAGATATTAAAGAAAATAAATATAAATATTTATATAAATTTTATGATATAAAATTATGATTCAAAAACTTATAACTTATTTGTTACAAGAAAATTTGGAATACAAATTGGAACAATTTTGGAACAATTAATTATTAGTTTTCTTATTGATTATATTATTCAAAGTTACTAAATTTAACTAAATAATACTTTTCTAAATAAATTACTTATTTAGAATATTATTTAGAATTATATATATATTTTAGAATATTATTTAGAATTATTTAGAATATAATATACTCTTAATTATTAGTTTTATTCACATAATACTAATTATACTACTTATTCATAAAATACTAATTTTTGAAAAAGATTTTACTTTTCAATATACTACTTATTAATACTTATTAATACTTATTAAATATCAAAAAAAATTATAAATTATAACATTATAAAAATACAAAATTTTCTTAGAAAATAAATAAACAATTATAAAGAAAATAATTTATAAAATAAATAAATAATTATATATGTAAAATTCTCATTTCATTAAAATATAATATATCTGTTAAATTTAAATTTTAAAAAATAGATAAAATAGGAAAATAAAATTAAAACTGAAATAATAAATGCATGAAATGTATTTCTATATTTGCGAAACAAACATAAATGCAATGTAAAAGAATGGTCGAGAGAGGAAAGATGATAGTCACAAATAAAATGATAGAAGTATCGCGATCCAGACACAACTGTGCCTGGTTAAAATAATTTCATATTATATTCCCTGGACGACTTTGTCGTGTTTCCTGATTTCCTTCTTCCCCCTTTTCATCCAACTCGTAATCTTTTCTTTCTGTACACTATAATCCTCACGCGGCATCCTGGTCCTTGACTTTTTTTCACCCCTTAATGTTCGCCCACGCGATTTTTTTTAATATCAACTTTACATTCTTGAACTTGGTTCAAGGCGACATTCTTGAAGATAGAAAGTCTCGCGAAATACTTACTGTCGTTCCTTAACCATCACATCTAATCACTGAAGCTGGAAATAAGTTTCGATACATTAAATTTATCAAAAAATTGTTATTTAAAGAAAAGAAAGTTTAAAAGAAAAATTATATAGTGAATTAAATTAATATTATCTAATATTACTTATGTCCTCATATTACATTCGAATTTATATGGTCCGAACTAAATTTTCAGATTGAGGTTAGTTTCCTACTTATTTTGAATTTTGATTCTTTCAATACCAAGTTTTTTCTTACATTGTTCAATTCAGTTCAAGGTGATATTTTTCGATCGAAGATAGAGTTTCATGAGAAATTCATTGTTGTTCCTGGCATATAGCCATTTTGTTTATATGTGAATGAGAGACTATTATATGTTTCACTTTTGGAGTTGGAAATAAGTTATACATTAAATTTAATGTGTAAAAAAAAATTGTAATGTTAGAAAATTTAAAGAAATTTAAAAATAAAATTATAAAATTATAATTTATAATGATAACTTTTTAAATGGTAAATAGAAAAAAAATATATTACAGTTGGATCAAAGTCAATTGATTACTTAAGACCATTCAAACAGTATCTTTTGGAATATTGCTATGTATACTTTTCAAAGACAGAATATAGGTATAACAAAAGGTATAACAAAAGTTGAACTGACTTATATAAAAGACAGATGTTCTAATAATTATTTTTAACGGTAAACAGAATAGTTGATAGAACAAATAGAAATAATTAAACAGGTACTTAATAGAATTGATTAAACCATTTAGAAAGAGCTTTGTTGTTTTATCAATAAATCACTACATGCCTTCCTGAAATCTTAAGTAAATTTACAATTGAAAAAGTGACTTACAATTCAAAAAGTGACTACTTTAAGAAAGAAAAAAAATATTCATTTTTAGTTATGACTGATAAAATGATCAATAAAATTAATGATTAAAAATAAATGATGAAAAATAATACTATATATAATAATGCTTAATTTTTCTTTATCCTACATATTATACAGATTATATTAAAGAGATTAAATAGTGAGAAAGAATTATAATATACAAAGGAAAAAAAAATTGAATTGAAATTGAAAAATATATAAAAATATAAAAATTATTTCTATACTAAATATTATCCAATATTCATTTAAGAATCCTTCATTTGAACAATTATTCTTCTACGAAATATTCTTTTTTTCAGTGATAATTTTTCAGATTTCAAATAACTTTCAGAAACCATCTTTTTTCAAAGAGCATAGAATAAATGCTTGCTACAAAGAGCAGCCGACAGACGTTTTTACATTTGCTAATTAAAAATTCGCTGCACGCGTTCGAGAAAAATAAAAAAATAGAACCCGGAAATAGCGGTAGAGGTCGTTGCAGAGTAACGCACGCGATCATTATGAGCACAGTGTAATCAATGTATGGATAAGGAATAATGTTGCTGGTGATATAATTTATAACTGAAAAAATTGTTGATAACGCAATTAATAAGCTATTATTACGAATATTTTTACTTTTTTTTTCATTTTTCCTATATTATATTTTTTTTTATATTTTATTTTTATTATGCCATTCTGAATTCTAATTTTAAAATTACTTTAATTTTAAAATTTTAAATTACACTTTAAAATTTTATTCTTTTTTATTCTTCTCATCATTAATTATTTTGCGTTCAATTATTTACATTATTTTATTTATAAATTGATTTTATTTGTATAATATTATACACGATATTAAAAAAAAAAAAATTATTTTTCTCTCGCATTCAGTATTACAAATATAACATTTTTCGTTGATATCCAATGACGTATTAAAATAGAAATCTGTAGACCACGATACGCATGCGAATTTAATCTGCAAATGCGGAAGCACAGTGTTGATTGTAAAATCTCGCAGTGGTTACAGAAACATGGAATCGAAAGAATGAAATCCATTTTTACGATTTATATTAAATTTTTCAATAATTGAAAGAAAATGTGAAAATCGAAACTTTTATAAATCGCATTTCGTGTAATTTTCACTTTTCCTTTTTGTTTGATGTGTAGTGTATTTTTTTTTTCGTGTTATTTTATTTCCAATTAAATTATAAAAAGTTAGAAATGTGTGCAATTAAAGTAACAATATATTTCGAGATATTGTAAAATATAATATTAAATTATTTTTTGTTGAAGACAATACCAGTCTGTATACACATAGACTTCAATAGTATGAACAAAGTTTTCTAACAACACTTGTCCATGACGTTTAACTGATCTATAATTTCACTTAATCATAAAAAAAACAATTGATAACACAACACGTACATGTCCAAGTATCAAAAGCTATTTAGAAAAAAGTTATAAATATCGTCCAATTTTTCTATACTTAATCTAAAATTAAAATATTGCATCGTATAAAGCTCTATCATGTATTCATCGAATCAAGGAAAACGAAAAGGTGAAGGAATAACACGAGTGTAATAATTTAAATAGAATTAAAAATTTTTAAATTTTAAATTAAAAATTAAAAATTACGTAATAATTTTAAGAAAAAAATCTTTTAAAAATTAAATCGTTTGTTTAAATTAATTTAGAAAAAAAAATTATTAAATTTAGCTTTTCTTTTGTACGTATATATTTTTATATTGTAAAAAGATCTACTCGATATTTTCTTTTTTTCTTTTTTCTGTTCTATAAAAAATATTTATATTTATAACATTTGTATAATTTTTCCCAAATCATCATACATTTTGAATAACCACAAGAAGTACAAGAAGTTTAGTAAAAAAAATTTCAAAAGAGGATAGAATTCAAATCGTTGTTCTCACAGCGAGCTTTATTTCAATGGTAAGCATCGCGTAAAAAAATTTTACTGCTTCCAGGAAAAAAGTTATTATTTTTTTTTTTTCGATCATAATCCATGACACACTTTTAAAAAAAAATGCATTAAATGTGATATCGCTGGAACTCGTGCGAATTCTTGATGAATTGTATCGATATTGACTATAAATGGTAATAAAAGCACTGTGTGACTAAAATATTTATTATTATGCGTTGAAAATATTAAAAATAAGGATAGACATGTTGAGAACTTTGAATTTTTCTAACTGAATGATTAAGTATATTTTTTTTTATTCAAATTTATAATCGTACAATATAATTTTTATAATTATAATTTTTCCACTCATTTATTCAAAATTACGATTTTTATCAAATTGCAAAAGAATATTCTGAATTGAAAATCATTAATTTTGATAAAATTTTGACACTTAAAAAAAAATTTATACCTATTTTAATTATTAATACTTCGGCTTGAAAACAATTTTCAAAATTAAAAATAATACATAAATAATTTTTAAAATAATCTTTAGAAATATTCTAGAATTGTTATTATTATCATGAATAAATTTTTAAAAAGAAACTTTTAATAAATTGTAATATATCAATTGACAATAGCAGTAGCATAAATATTAAAATATTTATTTTAATATTACAGAAAATGCCTGCCATTAACAAGAGAGAAGCTGAGAAGGTGCCGGAAGAGCAACCGGAGGAGGTCGTTGAATCGACGTTAAAAACATTTTTGAGCACCGAGATGGAAATAAAAGAAGGTAAATTCAAGAATTCTTGAAAATTGTTCTTTGTTCTTCTCTCTTTACGCGAAAGATTTTCCTTTCGGATTATTATATATTGTTGTGTTATTATTTGCGTTTTGCAGCCACAGAGGCAGAGGTAGTGACCGAAAATGCTGGGAAAAATTTTGAAACTCAAATGGAAAATCTCGGTAAAGAAATCGCGGAGGAAATGGGAATACCAACATGGGGACTTGTTGCCATTTTAATAGGTAAAAAAAAAAATGGTTGAGATTTTTGCTATTTTTTTTTTATGTACTTTATTAATAGGATAAATGATACAAAAAATAAAGTAAATTCTTTGTTCTTAAAATAAGATAAGTATATCTTTAAGAACATAGATATCACAATTTATACCTATACAATTTATCATATTTTTTAAAATATCTTTAATTTTTTGATATTGCAAAAATTGTTAAAAATCTTTTTCTTTAGATACATATATGTACATATATACTGATTCTTCTTTAGATACTGTATCTTCTTTAGATACATATATGTACTGATACTTAAAGAAACTATGAAGCACATGAAATTATTTGAATTTTAGGAATGGAATAATTTAAACATTATAAAAAATTCACTTAAACAGTATAAAAATAATTTTAAAAAATCTTACAATTGATTTTAAATCTAATATATTGAATATGTTTATATAATATTTTATGCAAAAACTTTGTGAGGAAGCTAGAGAGAAAAAGAACTTTCACGAGATTTATTGATAATAAAATACTGCATCAATAATATATATATAAAAGTTTTCAGATAACACTTTCACATAAAGTCAAAAGCAATAATGATTTTCTATGTACAAATATTTCCACAAAGTAATAATAATATCTACACAAGAAGACACAAAACAATCTGAAAACTTTTTCTTTACCTAAAAAAACAGTTGATCCTAAAACATTTTACTCTTTCAGATAACTCGAACATTGCTGAACATACTCCAAACGAACAACATTAATTGTAAAAATTTCCTTTGTTTCAGTTGCGTTTGTAAATAAGAATATTTTTATTATTACGACATATCATTTTTAAAAAAATTGCATTCGTTACACAGCAGAAGCATTAATGGAAAAATATAAAATACAAAATAGAAAAATAAAAATTGCTTTCGTGCTTGCGAATTTTACTTGAATAGACGCACTATGCGCATGATGTCAACCAAAAATAAGGTGGAACGAAATTTAAAATATCGAAATCCTTTACATACTTTTTAATACCGAAAAGAAAATGGTGTCGAATTTTATTATACAATTTATATTCTAGAATTTTAATATAATAAATAATACCATAAAAATAGGAATGATAAAATTAAAAAAATAGATTCAAAGAAAAAATGAAATATTTACAATTTTTGCCCCTCAGAAATTCATTTAACAGGAATCAATTTTCATTATTAATTAGTTACCTAATAATAATTTCTTCGTTCCACCAAACATCCATTACAACACCAAATCATTTTTTTAATTCTTTCAAATTTCTCCCTTCTTATGCTTGAGTAGCTGTAAGCGTAGTAGTTCTCGGAATCTGCTTCTGCTGCATCAGAAGATGCTGTCGCAAAAGACGATCCAAAGATGGAAAGAAAGGATTGAAGGGGGCGGTGGACTTAAAATCTGTTCAACTATTGGGAAGCACGTACAAAGACAAGGTACGTAATCGTGTTCCATGACTTCATGTAGATATTAGACGCACATTCTACACTCGTGGAATCCACTTCGATTTGTTAAGGTCCAGCCGGATATGGAAGAACTTACTGACAATGCCGAGGAACCAGATGAAGCTGAGAGTAAGCAGAGCGAGGTGAAACTTGGGAAACTTCAATATAAGGTAAAATTTTTTTTTTTTCAATCTCCATCATCGTCGATCCTTGGCAATCTTTATCATCAAATCGTTCTTAAAAAATTTATCAATTATCATTTAACAAATCAAGAGAAATAAATTCTAAATTAAATTAATTAAATTAATTTATAATATAATATAATAAATATAATAAATATAATATAATAATTTAATAAATAAATTAAATTAATTAAATAATATCAATCTTATTTCTTATCAATAATGAAAAGAAGAAATAATTTCAAAACATTTCAAATGTTATATTAATTGTATTTATTAATATACCTGTTTATCCCAATTAAATAAATTATTATATCATTGAACGTTTGCAGCTCGAATACGATTTCAACACGAACAGTTTAGCGGTAACGGTGATACAAGCCGAGGAACTGCCAGCTTTGGACATGGGTGGTACTTCCGATCCGTACGTAAAGGTTTATCTACTACCCGACAAGAAGAAAAAATTCGAAACAAAAGTGCACAGGAAAACGCTTAGCCCAGTCTTCAACGAGACTTTCACATTCAAGGTTAGCCGAGTTCTTTTTTCGACAATCAATTCAATGAATCCACTTATATTTTTTCAAAGAATGATCGAGGGACATACTTGTTTTCCAGAGCGTACCTTATGCGGATGCGATGAATAAAACTCTCGTTTTCGCGATCTTCGACTTCGACAGGTTCTCCAAACACGATCAGATCGGTGAAGTCAAGGTTCCACTGTGCCAAGTCGATTTGGCCCAAACGATCGAAGAATGGAGAGAACTGCAGAGTGTCGAGGGTGAAGGTGGTCAGGTAATATATTTTTTTATATATTGATTGATGCAATCCATAAAAAAAAATTATTAAGCTACTTTTAAAAAGATTTCAATTATTATTTTGTAAAATTTAATATACGAAATATATTTGCGTCTCTCTTGTTCTTTTTTTTTTTTTACAAAATATTATTGAACATCATTATTTTAAAACAGTGAGTCTCGTGGAGATTAAAATTCATGTAAATTCATTACAGGATAATAAATTAGGTGATATTTGCTTCTCGCTTCGATACGTGCCCACTGCTGGTAAATTAACTGTGGTCATCTTGGAAGCGAAAAATCTGAAGAAAATGGACGTCGGTGGTTTATCAGATCCTTATGTAAAAATTGCTCTTATGCAAAATGGCAAAAGGTTGAAAAAGAAGAAAACGTCTATCAAAAAATGCACTCTTAATCCGTATTACAACGAATCATTCACGTTTGAGGTACCCTTCGAACAGATACAGGTACGAATCTTTAAAATTTATCTATGATCCTCCATTTATTAAATTGGTGTATATGAAATTGATAATTGTATTGAATTTAAAAAAAATTAATTTACAATCTTGTTAAAAAAATATATTAATTAAAAAATTAGTAGAAGAATAATTGTAATTCTTTATAAATATAAAAGCTATAAGTATAATAATTATAATATTTTTCATCAAATTTAAATATCTTTCTTAAATTTGATTGGTAAGAATTTGTAATAAAATTAAATTTCATATAGATCAATTTAATACATATTTGGTTCTCCACGTTTGACACAGTTCACAAACACAGGTAACAGTACACTTCAACATTTTTCTATTATTCTTATTACATATTAATTAGTCACGTTTTCTTTTCAATTAATTTTTAGACAAAATTCACGACAATAATTTTTTTTTTACTTTTTTTTGTACTACTATAGTATAAGATACTTGGTAAATATTTAATATTCATTGCAAACGGATGATTTAAACTGAAAACACGAATAAATGATCTGTATGTAATGTGATAATAAAAAAAAGTATCTTCATAAAGTATCGACAATATAATGCGCACTATTTTTATTCTAGAAAGCAATTTTACTATAAATAGATAAAAAAGTTCTTTACTTCCATTTTTGAATAAAAAGAAAGGCTAAAAAAGATCTTATATTTATTTAAAAAGGGATTAAAACAGCTTTATGAAGGGACCAATATTTCAATTTTTTTTAAATGTCATACTTTCGGATTGTAAAACGTGTACTAAAATATTATATTATTCGCTACGTAATATCGCTGTCACTTTATTCATATATGAGCTTCAGAATTACGCTTAAACGCTTTGCATGCTCTTTGAATCGAAGGTCAGACGTGTCTAAAGAAGGAACATCCTTTTTAAACTAAACAATGTAAGTTCATTAAACAAGCTTTGCTTATTACTTGCATATATTACCGCTTAAAAGTTTAGGCTTACTTTTAATATTTATTTATAAAAAAAAATAATGCATATGATGATCTTTATTCTTGATATCAATTAATTTATTTTTAAATTTTTATATATTTTATATATTTTTATATATTTATTTTATATATAATTTATATATTCCTTATTTAAAAAAGAGATGCAAGTATTTTTCATATCAAATAATAGTAGTAAGTAATTTCAAATTTTTAAACGGTAATAAAATTTTCTTTTTATATAATTATATTCTTTTTATATTATATTTTTAATATATTCTTTTTATATTAAAAATCATTAAAAATTCTACATTGTAAATATCCCATAATATCAGTTTTTTTTTTATTATATTTTTATTCTTTCGTAGACTAGTTTTCTAAAGTACTAGTTTCCTAAAACATAAATTCCCTATAAATTCCCTATATATACTTACATTTATATACTTATATTTTTCGATATTCTATTTTTAATAAACTTTTTTGTAAACACGTTACAATCCGGAGGTTATGGCAACAAACAAAAAAAATATATATATATTTCCGTGAAGAGACTGTGTGCACTAATGCGTGATTTCACGTTTAGAAAGTGCAATTGGTTGTCACGGTAGTCGATTACGATCGTATCGGCACATCAGAACCCATTGGGAAGGTCGTCTTGGGGTACAACGCGAGTGGAACAGAGTTGAGACACTGGTCCGATATGTTGGCATCCCCGAGACGTCCTATCGCTCAATGGCACACGCTTAAAGACCCCGAAGACGGCGACAAGAAGGACTAAGAGATCGTTGAGAAAAGTTCGTTATAGAAAAAAAACAGGTAATGCACACCAAATGGTTCTAAACAGATATGACAAATACAGAATACAGAAGCATTATTATTTAAATTTTTTGTTTCGTTCCGTTCTGTTTGCTTTCGCCTCATTTTATAAACTACATATATATATATATATATATATATATATATATATATATATATACATATAATATGTATAGATATATACGTACATATTATACATAAATGTGTATATATGTATTTTCCAACGTGGACGATATATCAATGAATTTTTTTAAAAACACAGGTTTTTTTTATGAGAAAAAAGAACAAAGAAAAAAAAAAAGGATGTGCAGTAAGAAATAAAAAAAAAAAGAAAGATTAAAATAAATAGAAATGGGATGTAACGATCTCCCCGATGTAATTGATCGAGTTTATTCGAGAAATAATCATGCACGAGAATAAAAATGAGCGATATAGATGAAGAGAGAAAGATAGAGAGAGAAAGATAGAATGAAAGGGAGAGAGAATGTGAGAGAAAGAGAGTAAAATAGAATGAAAGAAAAATAAGAAAAACAAAGGGAATACTTTAGTAGATATTAATAATCTATTATTATAAATTAAACAACAATAAAATACCACCAAAAACGTTTTAGTATTATATAATATGTTCTCATGGAGTGTAGCGTCTTGTATATATATTATATATTATCTATCATACCTTTTTCTGTAGATGTAACAATTGAATGAAAACTTCAAGTAAATGCGTCCTCTTCAAGATATTTCGAGATAAAGCATTGAATACTTTTTGCAAAACACGTTGTTTCGACTTCCATATACGAATTCCGATCAATAGTTTTCTTTTTCATTAAAATTTCATTTCATTTCTTTTTAATTAAAAGCATATTTGATAAAATGTTTATATACTATATTGACACTGTTAATCTTATTAAATATTTATATATGGAACATATAAATGTGTGCTATATATTCTATGTATATAGTATACGAAAGATATATATAAACATATAATGTATACGGTGTAAATTATACTTATCTTGAATTGCGAGAATAGGCAATACATAGGCAAAATCTTATTTATAAAAAATTGATGATGGTATTTTGTATGTATAAATCAATAATTGTTTTCATGAAACAAATTCATGTTTATAGGTTATGATTATATTATAATTAATACACGATAGTTGCGAGGTTAAATGTTTTGTTATTCGTTAAACTACATTTATAGTTATATTTATTTTAAACGAATGGATTAAACTTTTTTTAATATTTAATCAATATTCTTTTGTTTGAATCACATAAACGAGCTAATAACGAAAACTATGATCGAATTATTTTCCTGCAAAAAAGTCAATGCTTTTGATCGTAATATCTTCGTGCAGTAACAACTTTATACTGACTGCGCTATAGGGAATTCAGTCGATCGAAATGAATAAGCAGATTGGCGGAAAATTCAAAAATTTTTTGTGCAAAACAAAAAATTAAACTTTAATAGTTTCATTCGCAGAGATATTGTCACGATAGTTTTTGTTGTAACAGCATCTTTCGATTATAATATTTTTACTATAGTATCAATTTATAATTTACTTGTTTTTTATGGATAAAATTATATTATTATATTATTATAATCGATAGATGCTAATGACAATTTTTCTGCGAATTGAACTTAAGAAGAATTAGTTTCGTTGTTTTGATTGTTGAGTTTTTGAAATTGAACCTACGGAATTTTGGATAAAATAAAGTCAAGCGTGCCGGGAAACATTTTAATATTTTAATTTGATATGCATGTTTGATTTTCCCGCGATTCTGCCTCTTTATTCTAAGTATACATATGCGTGTACGTGAAACTGTAAACATATTGGTATATATATATTATATATATTTACCACGTGTTATATATGCTGATAATGTTATTGTTTTTCGAAAACAGGCCTATCGAATATATAATTTATGTTATCGTTCTATTACATTATTTCTTGGATAATAAACATAAGAAGGAAAAAGTTAAATAAAAAAAAAAAAAAAAAAAAGAAAAGAGTAGTGACGAGTCCACGGTGGTTCTCTATATATATTTTGGGAATTGATAAAAAGAATAATTCGAAGAAAAAGCATTCTATAATACGTTTCAAACCAAATTTAACAAAATAATTACGAGAACGTCCCAAGATTTACAAAACATTACTATTATCATTACAAATATATATATTATATACTATATGTATCCTTTGAGAAAAGATAAAAATCAATTGTTAGAAAACTGACTTTATACAGTATTAACTGAGTTTGACTGCTATAAAAAAAAAAAAAATTCATATATTTTATTGCATCGTTGACCTTGAAAGCTACGAATTCGACTGAAAAAAGGAAAACGGATTAATAAATATATACGTGTTTTAGAAGAAGAAAACACGTTAATAAAAAAAATTCAAAGAAATAACATATATCGATAAGATAATCGTTTCCATCAGTCTAAATCGATAGCAACCTATATATAGTTTGTGACTTATAGTGAATGAAAAAAAATACCTAAATGTAAACGGGCCTTAACGCTTTTTCCAATTCTCCTTTCTCTCCCATCACCCTCATTATCGAAGATGCGATAAAAAAAAACTTTGTAAATATCACGTCATGAACATTTCAGTAATTGATAATCATGTATTAAATCCATTCATTCATCATAATAATTGAATATTATTTAATTCTCAATATAATTCGATGTTTGTTTATTTCATGTTCGTTCACTATAGTACATGTTTCACATAATGACAAGGAGAAAAAAAAATATTTGCACGCAATCAAGTTCAAATAATCATGTAACAATATCACTACTAACAACATAAGTAATAATGTTAACTATATATAAAAAAAATATATCGTGAAAAGAATGTCAGGTATAGCCAAAGATTTTGTAAAAATTATGTTTCTCATAATCGTTATAAAATTCTATGGTGTTACACCTGATTGAATTCAAACACGAGATGTGTACAAAGAAAAAAAATATAAAGATCGATATCGAAGTAAAAATTTCTTCAAAACAAGAAGAAAATCTCTCTCTCATACATTTCCAAAATTTTGAAGCTATTCCAGTGATATACGTTTACTTGCTATATATCAGTTATATTATATAAACTATAATACAAAAATCCGAACGAATTATCGATTGTTAATGATATTTAACATAAGAAACAAACTGGTGTTGCTTGGAATTTAAGATAAAAAACATTTCGTTAAGATTAAATATTAATTGCATTATATTTCGAGCAACATCAGCTTATTAAACAAAAAATAATGTGTCACGAATAAATATACTTCCTTAATTCAGTTAATTCTCTATACATCATAAAATGAAATAAGAACAAAAATTATTATAATTAAAAATGCATATAAAATTAAGAATAGATTAACTTTTTAAGCTTATGTTTGTTTATCGTATATACTACTTGCGAAGAAGAAAACTGAATAATTTAGTTGATGATTAATTTAATGTTATAGTACTTGATTTAAATTAATTAAATTAATTGTTTATTATATTAATGTAAATTTAATATAACATTAAATTAACATGTGAGAAACAAAAAAAAAATCGATGACATCATTGTTTCTTATATAATTAATTTTCATTTTTGGATCCCGTAAATGGATCGTTAAAAGACTCGATGCCAGAATACGATCGCCGATTAAAGTATCTAGTCCAAAAAGCAAAATACTACATATTATATATTAAGTCACTCGAAATAATAACATATACGTACAACTTTGCCGATAAAGTCGATGATTATAATAAAATTTATTATAATAAATATATAACGTGTTGATATAAAATTATATTCTATTTGACTTAAAAAGTACATGCACTAAACAATAGGTCAAATATTGAATATCGATCTGAACTGCTTTTGTCTTTATACTTTTTAAAATGACTTTTTAAAAATATTTATATATACCATTCAATTGTAATGTAGAAAATGATATCCATGAAACGCTGAAATAATATTACAAAGATTTATTCTAGTGATAGTTCACAGAATCGCGAATGTAAAATAGCGATTTGATATTATCTGATGATTATCTTGATAGTTTGATAGTTCATGGCACTGCTTATAACAGCGTTTCAGTCGGCAAAGTGGTACACATTGATTCACACAATCTAGTGCAATCTAGAAAAACAGTCGTTAATATACATAAAATCGATCATTATAAATAATATAGAAAATGTAGAATAGAGATGTGTAAATGTAGTTGTAATGTAGAACAAATTCATAGATATATCATTCCAATCTTCTCCTGAATCCCAATGTTGAAATCTTTCTCTAGATTCGAAATTGGGATTTGGTTTTCTTATCGTGCGCGAATAGCGCTTAAGATACATGATCGCTAACACTTAACCAAACTTGGTTCTATCATTTGTTCAGGACCAATTATCATAAAGATTATCAATAGCATGTTCGAATCATGTTATTATTGCAGCATTGTACTTAAAATCTTTAATGAGAAAATAAAGGGGGTTTACTGTTAAAAAAAAAAAAAAAAGCGCCGTGAGCCCGGCATCGATCGAGAAGTTACGATAAGCGCTTGCTATATGCAAAGAACGAATGTTATTTTTTTTTTCTTTCTTTTTATTTGACAAATTGTATTACGTAAATTTATTTTAATTTTTACATACAAATGTTAAGTGAAATGTAAAATTGAAAAAATATGGATGATACAATAACTTTATTTAAACAAATTATAATTGAAGTTCTATATAAGATGAAAAGTATACTGAAATATAATGTTATTTTTTAACTCACTTTTTTGAAATTATTAATATTTTTTTATTATATCTTATCTAATTGATAAATATATTAAGAATAGGAAAAATTGATTCGGAATATGACTCAAAGACTTTGAATATTTTTACGTAAACTCATTATTTTTTCGTTTTTATTCTCTTTTAATTAATATTCACAACATTTGGACAAATCACTCATCTGAAGTTGCAGCTAAAGATGTTCATGTGGACGAATTTTCTAATTCTTCATATACATTATATCGATCTTTACCTGAAAATCGATAACTTCATTGAATAGTATTAGTCGTGACTAACCTCAAAAAGAATTGCTAAGAGAATCTTTCGGAATCAAACAAAAACGTTACCGGTATTATTGAATGTAATTGAATATAATACGATTCAATGTATCATAATCATGTGAAAAACTATGGACGATGGAACCCGCAATATGTGATAAAGTTATAATTACTTTTCAAGATGGAAATATATGATAGAATACCGTTTTATGATTATTATCGGTGCTACCTATAATGTCTAAATAGTGCCTTTCATTGCTTTCGAAATAATTTCCGAATGTAGCGCTACTGATGTACTGACAATCGATCGATGTCGTCGTTCTTGACGTAATATTAAAATAATATTGTAGATATATAACACATATTCATACACAAAGAAAAGAAAAAAAAACACAATAGGGATACCAATTATCGAAGTGGCACGAATTTCTAGATAAAAATAAAATTATCAATTGGCACGTTTATTAATAAACATAACCTTGCGAAAAATAATAATAATAATATTGATATTAATAATAATTAATTTAAAAAGAATGATACGCAACGCATAGTGATTTAATTGAGTAGACCGTATACATGATGATACATATATATATAATATAATAATATAACGGAAAATATTCGAATCGATGAGAAATGGTAATCGATTTGTGCAGGTTCACGATTGTGTACGTTAAAGAAAAATTTAAAGAATCGAACAGTGTTGAAAGTAATACTCAAGGAAATTCTATTCGATGCAATGCTGATCGTTCTTTGAATAATTCATTTTTTTAATGAAAAACAATTAGAGAATAGCATATGACTGATTTCTTTAATTATAAAGTTTTTCATTCAATAATTTTGTTTGAGTAATCTTTATTATATCTTAATGAAATAAGTTTGCATTTTTCTTTTCCTTATAAAATGGAAATAAAGTAATTTTATTGAAAAATGACTTATTTTTACTTATTTAATATTTTAAATATTTTTTTTAAAAGAACTTTTTTTTATTAATCAATGATTATTTATACATATAATGTCTTCTAAAAGAATTTTGTAAAAGATCTTAATTCAGCATTGTGCTTAGGTGACTGAAACACGCTCGAAAGTATTCGGCAAAATTGAAAATGGATTTACAATGATATGTGAGCAAACAATACATGTGCCTAAGACCTTGATGCCTGTGCTTTTTTACGAAGTGTAATAACTACATTACGTAGTATTCATAAAAAAAAAATACATTTAAACTTTCGAGTAATCATTACGTTCCTTATTATTTTTAAAATATTCAAATTCTATTTTTAATTTTTTATACTATTTTTATTGTTGATAGAAATTAATTTTTCCTCATAATTTATCGTGTTTCTCTTCTCTAAATATTTTTATTAATAATAAACTTTATTTTAATGATGAAAACATAACAGTATCATTATTAGTAACATCATTAGCATTCATGAATTATCGAAATCACACGTAATTGAAGATTGTTTTTTCTTTCTATATATTTATAAACGAAGATTAATTGAAAATTCTTAATTAACGCTTCTAAAACAAGCGCCAGTCTTTCGAGCATGATCATTTCCAAGCAATTGTAAGAATATAGTATAACGATGGCTTATACTCTTCAAATTTTTTGAATTTCCCGCATAGTAAGAGATTGTCGATTCAAGCAATGAACGTACTGATTGTCATGTTAGTGGTAATAAAAAATGTCCAAGGAACGTAAATAGATGTGTATATCAGTTTATATAACACATAACGCACGAAAAAAAATGTTGTAAATAAGGAGAGAGACGAAACAAAAAATATAATGAATCTTTATAAAGTTTTAATTTGATCTGATAATAATATATATTATTACAATATCTGATAATAATATATTTAATTATTTTTGTCTTATTTATTTTCTTTATGTTTATTTCTTCGCGAGTAGAACGATGCCACAGCATAATATGAATAATCATTAATATAAAATTAAAAAGAAAGATCCTACGATTTTAGAATTATATATTGTATATTATTCAGTTTTTAAATTTTTCCTTTCACCACTGATTCGTCACTAAAAAAAAAAAGAAAAAAAGAAAAAAAAGAAAAAAATTAGATACATTTAATAATAATATAATAAATTTCTTTAACTCTTTTGGGACGGTTTTCAAAAATATATTCATTGTAGATAAAATATTACATTTTAATAATAGTAAAAAAATTACTTTCTATATATTCATAACATTTTTTCATTCGATATATTAATCGATATCAACGAAAAAATAAATAACTCATTAAAATATTCTTTAATACTCACGAAATTCAAAGTTTTTCATATTTAGTATCATACTTAAATCTAATTTCTAAAAAAATATTCTAAAAAAACAGAAGAGAAGAATTGAAAGAATGTTTACATGATACAGAAATAACCGCGTACAATTTTTATTCTAAAGACTTAAACTTTGAATCTCACATTTAACTGCTTCACATCTTTTAAATGAAATATGCTGTATAATTGTATTTATAATGGGTATAAATTATCTTAGCAATTTACACGGATCCTAAAATGTATAAAACATTCTTATATAGACGTTACCGTCACGAAAGGGTCCAAAAAAAATAATAAAAGAAAAGAAAAGAAAAAAAAAGAAAAGAAACAAAAAGAAAAGAAAAGAAAAGAAAAGAAAAGAAAATTAATGAAACGTACCAACTGATCTACAACGATTAAAAGGACATACTAATCCAAGATAACTTAACCTTAAAAATTAGTGCAAGAAATAGTATAGAAAAAAATAATGAAAATAATAAAAATAAGAAAATTACGAAACGCACAGCTCGTTGCAGTTGTTGAAGCATCGTTCTGGCTCCCAGAAGAAAAAAGACTCTGCGCTAGAGATTGATTTCTTTTGTCATTTTCCATAAAACAACTGAAGCTGTCCATTTTTTATCGTAGATCCTACGTTATCCATCGAAAGATGTAGAGAATTTATTTTTAACACTCTGATCTATACAAAATGCAGATCTATATATAAATATATATATATATAAATTTTAAGTCTTATGTTTTGAGACGATGCTCATCAAGAATAAATTAATATCAATAGATCGTGATCGATCTTTTTATTTTCGATTGATACGATAGCATTGAAGCATCGTCTCTATTGAGAGAGAAAGGAAAAGAGAGAAAGTGAGAGAGAAAGAGCGAGCGAAAGAGAGAATGAGAAAATGCGAAATATGGAGTAGATAAAGGGACTCATTCCCTATATACATTGCATTCGAGCCAATTTGAAAAACAAACGAAACCCTGAATGCCTCCAAAAGCTTGAAATGTGGATGTTAACAATTGTAATCATTCCATTGCATATTATACATAAATAAGATTTAGTGCGACAGTGTACTGTAAATCTATAGAAGTTATTATTATATCATAACTATTATGTAATAAATATTGTTGTTAACATAAAATTCATAATAGCTGATTATTTTTTCTTTTCCCAAAATTTTAAAACGAAGGATGGTCAAAAAAAAGATGTAAAAATTTGTTCAATGTGATTTCTTTGATTTTATATTAATTTTTTAATAGATGTTTGATTTCACAAGTGTGGAATCTTAAAACTCATTGTTTTAAGATTCTTCTTATACATTTTTTTAACAGTTTTAAATAGAAATATTTAAAAATATTTACAAAATTATATAATAATAAAGCAATCTTTCTCAATTTAGCAATCTTTTTTTTTCTTTCTTAGTTTCAAAACAATATTATAATATATATTAATTGCAATAATTTGAATAAAATATATAAAAAATAATTATTTACATATACGAATATAATCTTATTTAGCTAAATGTTATTTTTGATTAATCAATTAAAATAAAGTTGAAATAATTTCTTTAATAATTCTTGATTCTATTTCATCAACATTATCAATAGATTTTGTAATAAAATTAATGTAAATAATAGATAATTTAAAAATAATTTACTTAATTTTAAAATAGAATAAAGTTACATTTTCTGTATTATTTTTTAAATAAAGTTTAATAAAATAGATAAAATAATTTTAAATAAAATATGTCGAAGTCCGATTTACATTCACTTCATTTAAGAAAATAACGAGCCATGACAGTAAAAAAAACTAGATTTAAAATTAACAAGAATGTGGAACAATCATGGTCATGAAACAAATGAATGATTACATACAATTGTTAGAATTGGAAAGAGTGAAAGTTCTTGGAAGACTATAATAATATGGAATACGAACAAATGCATGAATCAGCGAGCTACCAATGGTATGCGGTTATTCACGGTAGGTTGCCTAGCAAAATAGTTTATTACGTAAAAATTAATTAAAAAATATAAAGAAACAACAGATTCAAACATAACACGTCGTACAATCTATACAAAAATAACAAATACTTGTACTATAATTATTCTATAATTATATTAATTAGTTGCTTCAATAAGCTCAATACTGGTGGGAGGACGATCGTTTCCGATTTGTCGTTCGTTGGTTTTTTACGGGAAGGCCGCGGGCGTATGGTTTGTGTGCGTTTGTTGAGAGATAGTAAATGCCTCGTGCTCTGCAACATTCCACATTTATAAATTTTATTAACTTTTTTTTAAAAATTTAATTTTAACCATAAAAATAAGAATAAAACAATAAATAAAATATAAAAATATATTTTTTTAATTATAAGAAAAAAAAAATTTGCTTACGTATGTGGAGCGTCTTCTCCCATCAGTATGTACTCCTCGAATTTCGGGTTGCACCAGCCGATCAGATAGGAAAAAAGATTTCCACACGGAGCTGCCCAGAATCCTACTTTCGTCGTGATTGATTCTATATAATAAGGCGTCACTTTTGTATGATCGCATGACAGCGTCTCTGCGGACGAAACATTTCACTGATTTCATTTACAGTCGACCATCCGTCCTGTAGAGCGTTTTCTCTACCGATAAAATAATTCTTATATATATATTTTCCGCAATCATAGACTTTTATTGATTCAACAAGAGAAATGTTGATCTGATTTTCCAATGATAGATTTTAAACATTCAGAAAATTATGGTAAAGGATTAAAAGAATATTGATTTTTAATTTTGAAAAGTATGGAAGACCAGTGTTTATCAAAATATCAACAGATTAACAACTAAGTTTTATTTAACCAATATATTTTCTTCTATAACTATAAATAATTAAAAAAAATTATTTTTTTTTTATAAAAAGAAAATAACAGGAATTGTAGAATTATTATCAAAAAATTTTAGAATGAATATTATTCATTAATTATTTATTACTATCAAGAAGATTAAAAAAAAAACTGTTTTGCTTCTATTCATTTATTCAACACGATCGTTTTCTCTTTAATTACTTTCTTCATGGAAACTCATAAATAGATTTATAAATATTTAGAAATCAGCCAACTAATAAATAACACGATAACTACTACTTTTAATTCAATATTTGCGTGTTTTTCAATATTTATGATACCATTTTATATACAAGAAAAATAAAAAAAGAATTTAAAAGATTCTACTTACGGAGCAAGGAATATGTCGCGCATCCGGGTTGGCTGGAGCCTCCATTCACATAAAAATCTGCATGACCAGTTGGTCCCCATTGACCCAAAATTCCAGCACCAGTGTGAATTACATCGACGAAATGCGCGTCCGTCTCGTCTAAATCCATCGATCGATTTCCATTCATGTAGAAAAATATCGTAGGATCGAGTCCTAATAAAATGTACGGGCATAAAATTCACTTAACTCACTTAAAAAATTTGTATAATGAATAAAATGTATAGTAGGTAAATCAATTTTATTATTTTTGATAAGTTGTTAAAATAATTGATCAGTTAAAAAGAAGTTTGTGAAGTAAAAATTATTGATATGATAATAAATACATGTTGGAACTGTATCATATTTAAGGAAAATTTATATTTTCGAAATTTATGATGTTATAGCATTTTTTATATTGTTCACTTCTCAATGAAAATCAAAAGTAATAAATATAATAATAAGTTTAACAATGAATCAAATAAAAAATTGATATTATATAAAAAAACTCATTCAGACTTGTTCAGTCAAATTTCAGAAATGATAACAATGATTCTGCATTTATTATTGAAATATTATTTATCTTGCCGCAAAAAAAAAACCTGAAACAATTTTTGAAACAATTTTTGAAACAATTCGGATGGAATCGGATCGAAATTTTAATATTATTAAATTACTTGAAATTTTCAACATCTTGATATTGTTTTGAGTTCGTAAACTGCATACTTCCAATATATATCAATACATTAGACAAAAGTTGATTTATTCGCTTGATCAAAAGTTGTCTAATATGTTCTTTTTCTACTTTCCATATGTAAAGAAACATATAGACTCATTCCAGCCAAGGCTATTTCAAGAAATATAGTGGGATAGTATAATTCTGCATCTATAATCGAATCGTTATATACATATACATATATTTATACATTATTAAATTTCGGCATTCTCGTTATTGTGCAATTATTTTAAATTTTTAAAAAATTAAATGCACATACTACCTGTAATTCTTCCAAGTTTATCATCGGGCAAATAATTCGCTATCAGACCAGCTATATGCGCGCCCACGCTATATCCAAGTACATGTATGTTCTCCACTCTTGTTCCTCGAGGATGATCCCTCAAATATCTTACCAATTGAGCAATACATCGTGAACAGAAATCTGGGCCCCATTGTATTTGCGACAAACAAGGCTCGCGTACTAACGTACCGTAATCGACAATTATAATATTGTAATTGCCTCGCGTGAAATATGCTGAAATCGAAAGTTTCATACATCCAAATATTCAAATCCTTAATCTCCACTAAAAGAAGTCCAACAATACGTGATCTAATATAATTATCATTCTTTAATATGATTAATTTATAATCGAAAAAAATTTTTTTTTATTATTTTCAAATATTAATTTTTTCGATAATAAATAATTTCATTAATTTTAATGATTTACGATAAATAAACAATGAATATATTATTTATGTTATTATTATGCTTATTATAAAAAAATTAATTAAATACAGCGAATAAAAATTATCACTTTTCTTATGCTAAATAAAATTTTATAATATTTCGAAGAGAATTAAAATGAGATGTAAACTTTCACATGATAAAACTTTCATTGAAATTCGTCGCTTTTTATTGTGAAAATATATTTCAGTGAATTAATAAAAAACATTTTTTATAAAATTACTTAATTTAAATATTATAGTATTAAGATATAAATTAAATTTCTTTATATCTTATAAAGAATTATTCTTATAAAGAATAATTTCTCAGTAATTCATAATTTTGTCATCTAATATATAATTCTATATCTAACATTTATAAAAACTAATTGATAATGTTTAAAAAAAATGAATTATATATTAAAAAAAATTTTAATTTTTTAAAAAACTACCTTTTCGAAGATCCGGACTGGGTATTAAATTTCTCCCTCCTCCAAAACCATGAATAATAATTTTCGTGGGATGCGATTTATTAAATTTAGAATAATAAAGTGAATCAAACTTGCGAACATCTAGGCGTAAAGGTTTCTTCTGTGTTTCTCTGTAAAATAAATTAGATATAAATGTTATAATTGTAAGAAAGTTATATTTTAATGATCTTTCTAAAGAACTTTTCTAAAGGAACAAAAAATTACATACTTAATTAAAAAAAGGAAATCACATTCTTGAACAAATAGTTAATAATATTTTTAACAATATAAATATTAGAATACATTAATTAAATATATGTATAATTCTATAAATGATATATTAATTATAATTTTAATACTTTATTTTGAAAAAAATTTTATAATTATTGCAATATTTATTCCAAATTACAATGATAAGATTTACTGATTAATATTTGTTTATTATTAACAAGTATCTTTATAAAAAATTAAATGAATATTATAGTATACTCAGAAACAATAAATGAAACAAGTAAAATGAATTTTAAAAAAACAAAAACAACATAACAGAACATCTTAGAACCATTTAATTGTCGCTTTCAAATAAAGTAAAATAGAAAGAGATAACAAGCGTGACAAAAGAAGAAAATGCGAGTGAGTAAAAGTAACTCCTAAGACGTGCCAAGGCGCCTATAACTCCTGGAGAAAGGAGAACCTTGAAACGAGGCCACTTTCAGTGCGAGACTGATCATGATCTTGAAATCGAGAGTCTTATGTCGAGGTCCTTCCTCATGTCCATGTTAGTTCAGATTGAACCTTCTCGAATATTGAATGAAAGTGAGGTTAGGAACCATAGGCAAATATAAAAATAAATGAGAAATTTTACTAAAAGATTTATTAAAAGATTTAATATTAATGTGATTTTTTTCTTTACTGAAGATTCATGCTGCAGTGGAATCGAATTTCAAAATGAAAAATAAAATAAAATAAAATAAAAAAAAATAAAATAAAATTTGCAGTTGTTATGTTGTATTATCTGCGCAAAACTATATATATAATTATATATTAAATTGACATCAGTAAAAATGAACATTTCTTGTGTTTTCTTATTCATTTTTTACATTAATTTTCAAATTTAAATTAAATACAAACTTACCTGGTATATAAATAAAATTCAATCTGTGGATGTGGACATTCGTAGGGTGGTTTCGCGCATGAAGTACTATTAAATAGATCCTTAAACGTTGTTTCTGCACTTATATAATCTAAGGAAAAGGACATACGTTATAGATATAGACGAAATAATACATTAGTGATCCTAATTTATTCTATTTTCATTTTCTATTCAAATGATTTGAATTTCACAAGAATTACATTTGCATATCTAGTTAGATTAGGTTAAGTTAAATTAAATTATTTAAAAATAAACTGTTTATAACTAAAAGTCATTATACATTGAAAACTTGAAAGAAATCGACAATAAATTATAAGAAACTTAAGAAAATAAATGAAGGTTGTCTCATTATTCCGTTCTGATTAATTTTTTATCACTTCTCTCAACTTAAAATATATTCTTGCAACAATAACACATTAGTATTAAAAAAAAATAAAATTCTAATGTTTTAAATATTTATTCTTTGAATATCATAGAATATGATAGTGACATATTTCCCTTTTAATTTGTCATTGAATATTGATCTTTGATTAGCGAACTAAATATTGATATATAAATAAATATATATATTTTTTTGATTATTTGCATTGTAAATTATTAAGTATTGCAATCTTTTTATAGCAGTTGATAAATCTTGGTATTGACATTAGCGATCTTTTTTTCTATTTTTATATTTCTTTTTTTTCAAATTATGATTTTATAATATTTGAATATATATATGAAAAATATTTTTATTACATTTTTCTTTAATTCTTTATACATTTATATACATAATCTCTTATATATATCACATTTTTATCAATATTTTTTGTTGTCAGAACATTAATTTAATAAATTCTGAAAAATTCAAAAATTTAAAATATTCCAATTTTTGTACTTTCGATTTTTTGAGAAAATTATTTTTTTCTTTAAAAATTATTCTATCTACTACATCAAATATTTTGAAATATTAACAGGACTATACAAACACAAAAAATAAACTGGTTTTTTAAAATAAAATTATTATATTTTACTAGAAGACACTTTATAAATCACAGATTGAAACAAATAAAAATTCAATAAACTAAGCAATTTATTTTGAATAATAAACGAATACAAACAGCAAATACGAATTTGAAAAATGTATTTATGCGCACAAAAATTTCTCATAATCATAAAAAAGAAATTAATGGCTATAATAATCGATGATTATTAGATTATTAAATTAATAAGAAAATTCTGTCACTTTTATCAATCAAAGAAGAAAAGCCAATTCGTTTTAATCAAATTCAAGATTTTGTTATAAAATATATTTAATAAATTTTTTATTAAACTTTTTTTTTCTAATTTATTCTAAATTACATTACATTTATAAATTATATTTCATCATTTTAAATAAATTTAATTAACATTTATTAACAACGATTTTTTAAATTTTTAAATATTTCTCTTAATTTTTCAATTAGCATTAATTATATTCCTTGTAAATTTGGAAATTATATAATATTAACAATTTCAAATTTCAAAAAAATATAATAAATCACAATCAAAATATAATAAATATAATAATCACTTTTTATTTTTACTTTGATTCAGTTTGACGTTTGAGAAAAATATACAAAAAAAATTATTATCATTAAAATTCACAAATTAAAAAAAAAAACATTTGTTCTGACATCTTTTGTCAAAGATATGATTTCAATTAATAATTTTTTGAAAAAAATTTCTAAATAAAACTGCAAAATCAGAATTTTTTATATTAATCAAATACTTACGATACAGTAGCATAACAAGGAAGACGAACACGAGGTATCTCACGACACTGACCGCCATCTCCCGCACTCCCGAGGTTTGTGATATAACATTCAGACACGCGGTGATGAAAAATTAGTAAAAGTGCTTCCCGCCGCTTCTCTCGACTGATTGCAACATGTAAAGTCACCGTAGTAATACAACTGTTCCCCCAGAGAGGAACTTTAGAAAGTCACGAGCGTGTTGAATAGCTTCTCTCCGATTTTACACGAGCGTGTGATCGTACACGCGATGCACCGCGGAACATTTTTCGTTATTTCAAACTCGTAGAAGCAATATATCGATGAAGTATTTGCTACAGTAAAAGTTGGGTAACTGCACGAGGCAAGCAACCTGCAACGTAAGTGGTCAGTAGTCATCCCCACTACTGAGAGTCCTCATTTCTTTTGCACACTATGAAACTTGATATATTTATTTTAACTTTTTTCTTCATTCACTGTCCTCTATGTGTCCTTCTATATGTATCTGGCAAAATATAATGTTTGAATATATAGATTAATATATATATAAATAGAAGTTGAATCTTTGAAATTTTCAAGTTCCGGGAAAACATTACATGCTATTATTTTCATTTATTCATGATGATTATTTTCATTTATTCATGCTATTATTTTCATTTATTCATTATGATTTTTATTATTTTTATTATCTGTTTAATTGAAAAATCTGATGGGGAAGTTTTGTTCTATAGGAAGTTTTATGAGTTCGAAAATTTGAGAATTTAAATATGATTTATTATATATTTTATTAAGGAACAAACAAAATGAAATATATAATTATAAAATGTAGATTATCAATGTTGTCCTTAATCCATCTAATGTTTATATCCAAATATATTTTTTATATTTTGTTATAAATTATTGAATCTTATATACTTGTATCTTAGAAATTGTTAAATCTTTTATATTTTAGGTCATTGCCTTTCATATATTTTATTGTAGAGAATGTCAGATTTCGTGGATTATATTTTCGAATTTTTTATATTTCGTTACTATTAATATAAATTATATAATAGAAGATCTAGTAATTTTATATCGTAATCGATATTCAATAATTTCGAAGGATCACTGAACAAAATTTAATAATTTCAGGATTATAGTGGAATTCTATATAATAGAAATAAAGTTAAAATTAATTAAATAAAAAAATAATAATTATAAAAAATTAAAAATATTGAAACTAACGAAAAAAATTAATATATTGATCTTAATTTTCTTTAAAAAGCTACATAAATACCATAATCTTGATCCATGTTTTATTATACTTGATCGTCTGAAAGAAAATTGAATATTTGAAAAGATCGGCTTATAATTTATTATCAATAATTAGTATTTCTTATTTTTTTTTTAATTACATAATACACTCAAAATTACAGTATACATACATATTTTACATAATTACTGTTATAATAATTATTAACAAACCAGACCTTATCGGCGTGTGTAACTCTTTTTTTTTTTTGTTTTGTTTTCATTCTAACTTGCAGCTACATGTATTAATAGAACAGGCCTGCTATTTTTTTTAAACAGTCAAAATAGATTTTCTTTAAATTTCTCATCATAGAGTATTAAGATTATCACTTCTTCTTCTCTGTTTAATTATGAAACCACTATAAGAGAGTGCGAATTAGTGATTATCTTTAAGAAATTTAACGTTAATTAAAACGGATACAAAAAAGAGAGAAGAAGATAATGTTTCACACTGAAAATCGATCCTTTCGCGATTATTATTTTATTAATAGGGCATGCCATGATCGCGAATCTTTAATAATCTTCAACTCTTTAAAACGTGACAATGATACACGCGACAATTGATTTCTACATATCTTCCAACTTTAAGATATGATATTAGGTGCCGACGTTGTAACGCATTATCAACAAAAAATGCATTTACATAACACGTTAACAATTTGAACTTCGCGCCTATTAAAAAAATTCTTTAAATACGAATAATAAAATAATGACAAATAATAAAATAATTCACAAATATTGGTATTATTAAAAATATTATAAGAATTAAAAATTTTAAAAATAATAAAATACATATATATGTATAATTTTAAAAATAATCTTTCGTTTAAAAAATTTAAATCGAAAATCAACATGACAATTCGTTGATAATGCATTAATCGAAAATACACTAGAGCACGTGAAAAGTGATCGAGCATGTAAATAGATCGTTAATTCTAAAATCTTGTGTACTTTGATGCACAGCACGGAAGAGCAGATTCTTTTTGATTCATGCATAACTCTAGTTTTCGAATGCCCTTAACAAATGTTATTTATCAATTAAATCATAAGTTTGATCAACTTCAATATTGTCAGTTTAATATATTAGGATCGATTGAAATATATATAATAATATCATGTATATATACGTATACATATATAAGTATGTGTATGTACACACACACGTTCATGCATCCATACCAGGATAGCGGGAAATACAAAACAGCTTGACATTTAGGGGTAATAGAATAATTATAAAAATTAAAATGTAATCGGTATTTGATAATGGTTATATTAAATGTTTTATCATTTTTAAAAAAACAAAATATTTATATTTTGCCATTTAAAAAATTAGAAAAAAATATTTTATTAAAACAAACTAAAATATTGCAATTATTTTTTAAAAATTTTGAATCATTTATCTATTTAATTTGAAATATTATTTAAGAATTTATATTTTATATTAACATAGACATGATGATAAATAAAATTATAAAAATTATAATCAGTAACTTATTAATATAATCATTTTTTATTTATGAATCTAATTTGATAATAAATTTTCGCAAAAAACATTAACATATTATTGACCAGCTCTGTTGTGCTCTCTTTACATGCTATTTCCACAGATATATAAAAAAATTCAATAGATTTCAATAAGTTTATTTGCATATAATTTAATATAATTATCAACACAATAAACAGTATTATAATATCGCATAATTTAATAACATACATACACTAGTAATAATACTCAATTGCTGATCAATAATGTGTTAAATCTTAATATATCATTATGAATGTAAATATACAAATTTCTTTCTTAATTTTATCTTATATTTAGATTTATTCCTTTAACAATATTAATGATTATACATATTATAGAAATGTAGAATGAATGATTTCTGATAATTAAAGAAAATGTTTCACATTCTACAGATAAAACGAATTCATTTCATTATTTTATAAAGAAAAAACAAAAAATTGTTTTTAATGCATCTGCCATTATTCAAAAAATGCGACAAATACGCTTTCATTTTATCTGCATAAGGATAAATTATTCCACATGAAATAGTTGCAGTAACTATATAATTTTAATATTTAATAAATATAAAATATAATAATAATGAATAATTAATAAACATTCAGCAACGTAAAATCACAAGAAACTTACCATGATAAGAATATTTTAAATATTTTTTCGTAAAATACTCGTGTTTGTTACAAAGAAGTAATCTTTTTGAACAAATATATTTTTTAATAAAAAATTTAATTTTTACAATAAACTTAATTAAAATAACATAATAATAATAAAATTATCAATAATTGTCAATAATATTTAATTGTATTAATTAATTTATATTTAATATTAATATTTCAAAATTATTCTGAATAAATTAACATAATTTATACTTGATAAAAATTTAAAAAACAGAATTCAAAATTTAATAAATTAAAATTTTAATTTCAGAAATAATTAAATAAAATATTTTAATTATTGCATGTAACAGTATTTTCATAACTTGTTTTTGATTTCAAAATAATCGAAAGCACAAGAATATTACAACGAAATCTCGCATAACATTAACATATATATTTCTAAAAGATTTCTATTTTATTGTCCATATATATATTATTTTTATTATATTTCCTTCCTCCATTTATTGTCGGTATTAATGAGTGAGAATTATTTTCGCAAAACAAAATCGATGAAAAATGTAACTCGAGATTATCTAAATTATATCTATAAAATATACATATAACGACACATAATACTTATATGTGTACGGAATATGTAACACGTCATACACAATATATACATATAATGTATATTTATATTTATTTTATTTATTTATATATATTTATATTTATATTTTTAAACATATCCTTTTATAGTGTATATTACGATTTAGTTTACTTAAAATTAGTACTTTCATGTTTATCAATAAATAATATATATTTCAAGCATTTCCAGAACTTTACGCCATCTACAATTGCGCCCGAATACAATAGCGTAGCAAGCTCATCAGCACTCTTAATCAATCTCTTATACATGGGCTCTTTAAATCGTATTTGAAAAATTGAATCAAAGTAATTAAAAATTATTTCTGTGATACTTGAATAATTATGAAAATTTTTTTTATATAATTAAAATCATCGCAATGGTTGTTTTTTCTATGAGCGACAAAAAACAGAACTAATAAATATTAAATGCTTCGAATAACTACAATTAATGTATGTTTTGCTACAAGACATTTGCTTTTACATAATAGTTTTTTTGTCGCTTTACATTTGTAAATACTGTAATTAATTTTTTATAAATAATATGTAAAATTATGAATAACATATTAATTATTAGAATGAATAAAGAAAATATTTTTGTATCTATTAACAAGAAATATAACAATATACATATATAACAATAAAATATTTTACTATACTTTATAACTTATTGCAGAAAATTTAGATACAAATATATTATATATTAAAAATTTTAAATATTTAAAATAAGAAAAAATAATTTAAAAATTATAACAAGTAACAATTATATTAATTAAATTTATTCTTATTAAAAATATTAATATTATAAGATCATAAATATTGTACTCATAAAAACTAATGATATTAAACTTTTTTTAATAATATTATATCTATTATTGGTAATAAATATTCTTTTATAATATAACATGATAATACAAATTTAATGTAATATTCTCCTGATTAATATTTGTGAATAGCCATTAATTAAAATTTTGAATCAAAAATTCATAATGAAATATATCATTTTCATATTTCAATGCGACTTTTAATTTTTTTTTATTTCGTTTAATATTGCATAGATAGTATTTTTGATTATACATATATGTAAAGCTAATTGTTATTTAAAATGATACAGGATGTACCGAAAAAAGCAAGCGCGATATTTAGAGCTCTAATCATAAATATCCAAAAAGTACAATGTAACTCCATCTGACGGGATTCCAGCTTTACGAATGTAATTAGATCCAGAAACAATTGGTTCCCTTCGTATTCAATATATTAGAGCGCTGCGATCGGCTCACCCCATATTTTTGTTTTTCTTTATTGTCATAAAATTATTATCGGAGCTATATATTTATATAAATATCA